AGTGAGGACTGCGGTGTCGCTCCCCCTTTTCGCGGAGGAACGACACAGAACCCTGCGCTGTTCTTTGGTCTGCTCGGCCCTCCCCGGGTTCGCTGCTGGTTCTTCCTGGGTTGGCTACCGTCCCTTCCACCTCCGTGGAAGGGCGGTTCCCCCTAGCCACTTTCCCCACTTCCGCGGGGGAGCGGCACACCGCCGGCCGGCTCTCTCGGGGGCTGCTCAGATGTTCCTCATAGATGTTCCTTTTTGCATGTTGTCTCTCTCCTCCTTTATAGTCCTCTTCCACCAATCCCAACTCTGCTACCCACATGCTGAGTACGCTGCTCTCCTCCAATCAGGAGCAGGTCCTACAGTTTATTGGTTGAACTGGAGGCAGCTGTGTAGAAGCTGTTTCCTCCTCTCCCAGCGCCATATTGTGGGAGAGCAGATGAATAGAATAAGTCTTAATTCCAGTAACTTAGTCTAGTCCGAGTTGCTCCCAGTTGCTCCCCACACTGCGGGAGGTCTCAAGGAGGGGGGTACTTCCCAGGAGAACAAGTTGTCACAAAGGCACATGCTGACCCTCCCTGGTCTCTGCCTTCCTCTGTTGCTGTGAGTCCTTCCTCCATGGGATCCTCACCAGAGCTGAGCCAGTGCTAGCACCATGCCCTTGAACCTCTAGGATGGTGAGCCAAATGAACTGTTTTCTTTGTCAAGTACCCAGCCTCAGGTATTTCATCATAGTAACCAAAAATGGACAGATATCTGGTAGAACTGGAAAGGAAGGGATTTTTCATGCAGCTACCTTGGCGTTTCAGAAAAACTCATAGAATTCATGATGGTATTAGAAAAACTATGTCCCCATCAAGTGTCTTCTGAGATAAATGGCAAAATGCATCCTCGGAATTGAGCTTTGGAAAGATCAAGTAGTTATGATGAGTTGTTGCTGTCTGGCGTTGTGAGAGGTGCCTGTTGCGGGCTTTGGGTGGCTGCCCCTGCACTGAGACCCCCCTTTTTTTTAAGATTTATTTATTTAAAAGGCAGAGTTACCGAGAGGGAGAGACATGTACAGAGAGAGAGAAAGGTTTCCATCCACTGATTCACTCCCTAAATGGCTAAAATGGCTGGGACTGGGCCAGGCCAAAGCTGGGAGTCTAGAACTCCATCTGAGTCTCCCACGTGGGTGGTAAGGGCCCAAGCACTTGGGCCATCTTCCACCGCCCTCCCAGGTGCTTTAGCAGGGGCTGAATCAAAAGTGCAGTGGCCGAGACTCCAACCGGCACTCAAATGGGATACTGGCACCACAGGCATCAGCTTAACCTGCTATGTCACAATGCCACCCCCCCCCCCGCCTTTTTACAAAAATTAATAATTTTTTTACTTTTCACTAAGATCCTTTCAAGGAGGCAAAATTCTTCTTCCAAGGCCCAACAGAAAGTCACGCAGCTCCCAGATCTTCCAACAGAAGGTGGCAAGAAAAGGCAGCGGAGATGGAGCTGCTCCTTCCGGGAGAATGCCGGCCAGTACAGCTTAGCCCCATGTCCCCCCCAACCCCAGGCTTCGTGAGGGGGTGGCAGTGCCCCGTTGGTGACCCTACTGTACAACCGCAGGGTGCTGAGTGTGCCCGCTGGCGTTCGCTGCCTGTGGGTGAACCACTGCCTGGGTCATCGTCCCTGGGCCTGCAGTGCATGGCTGCTAGGACTGCTGTTTTCGGAAATCTAAAGAATCCTAAGCATGGATGCCAACAGCCTTTGTGCCCTGCAGCGATCCAGTTGAGGGAACCAGAGGCACTTGGGGCTTTCTTTTTCAACACCTCCCAATAGAACTGAGTGATTATTAATGCAACACCCACGTTCTAGAGGCTGCGGGACTCAGTCCCCGAGAAGGGACACATAAACACATTGTCAGCATCACTGTTAACTGCATGCTCCTTAGGTCCTTGTATCTGGTGTGGGCAGCAGGAAGAAACCTCATGCTTGGAATGGATTCGTTTCTAATTGTGCTTTTGTGGACACAGCTAGACACAAGGTCTGGTTCCTTTGGAGAAAGAACCAAAGATGGGAAAATAGCTCCTTTCACTTTTGTCATTTTTGATGTCATTCTTTGCTTTGTGCGGTGATTTACTGACCCTCTAACAATAATGCTGGATGCTAGAAAGCATGAGTCAATAGGGACACAGTTTCTGTTCTCAGGAAGTGCAGATCAGCCTGGCAGAACCTGATGGATAAGTAAATCATGCCTAAACTATGTGACAGAGAAAATTATTTGAGGAAAAAAAATGATTCTGAGAAAAATTAGGCTTTGACCCAAGAGAGGGACTGCAGAGAGAGATGAGGGAGTAATTATGGAGGTCACATGGAGAGTGGGGGAGGGGCACATGATCCTGGAGCTGGGACCCTGTGCCACGCCCGTGGGTCTTCTGTGGGAGAAGACGGGGAGAAGTCCTGCTGAGCTGGGGTCAGTGTGGTGTCCAAGCTGGAGAGAAAGTCCAGCGGGACACCTGCAGTGGCAACCAAAAGCCCCCAATGGCAAAACTAGAGGTTAGGAACTGGGGATGAGCTTCGAGAAATATGCAGAAGGAACAGAAACATCTTCAATGCTCTTTTTTTCTTGTTGCCATCGGATCTTGATTTCTGATGCTGAGCCGGGACGTGAATGGCGGTCAGTTCTCCCTTCTCACTGCAGCCGGTGGGCTGCGGGACCTTGATGCCACCTGCAGCTTTGCACCCACCAGTTGCACGATCTTTGACAGTCATCGCACCCTCCTGGACCCCAGTCTCTGCACATCTAAGACACGGAAGCTGGGTTTTTCAGCTCTTTCAACCTGATTCAAATTTAAGACACCTTTCCTGTTGCAGATTGATTTCTAAGCCACTGTGTGAAGTCCACCGAAAGAAGACCCTGGCTATACCACATTTAAAGAAGAAGTAACTCACTTTAAGCCTGAACCTGATAACGGGGTTTGGTTGTGGTTGATTAGCATATTAATTGATGCTCAGACACTGTGACTGTGTTTGGTCTAACCAAGCCGTGGCTTTGAGGGTCTGAGCTGAAATGCAGTTGGGCCAGGCTGTTGAAGGCTATTGAGCCGACTTCCTTGCCCTTCTGTTTTGCCCTTATATGTCCTTGCTTCTAGCTTGCTTCTCTCCGCCACCACACTCACTCCGAAACACACCCTCTGCAGTCAGAAGGAGTCAGATTCCTTCCTTGCTCGAGCTTAACATCTAATCCTTATCCTTTGGATTTCGGTTGCAGGGTGAGTGTGTAGAAGAAGGGACAGAGGATGTAGGGAAAGACATGTCTAGATAGAGTCTAAAATTGGTACCAGCCAGGTCTAGAGAAGTAAGCCAGATTTGTAGGCCTCCCAAGGAGCTTCAAAGCACACCAGCAACACCACAGATACTATCTTTTTTTTAATTAATTAATTAATTTATTTATTTTTGACAGGCAGAGTTAGACAGTGAGAGAGACAGAGAGAAAGGTCTTCCTTCTGTTAGTTCACCCCCCAAATGGCTGCTATGGCCAGCGCGTTGCGGTCAGCATGCTGTGCCAATCTGAAGCCAGGAGCCAGGTGCTTCCTCCTGGTCTCCCATGCAGGTGCAGGGGCCCAAGCACTTGGGCCATCCTCCACTGCACTCCCAGGCCACAGCAGAGAGCTGGCCTGGAAGAGGATTAACCAGGACAGAATCCGGCACCCTGACCGGGACTAGAACCCGGGGTGCTGGCGCCGCAGGTGGAGGATTAGCCTGGTGAGCCCTATCTTCAAATTGGGCTTCTTCCAAAGTGTATGAGGACACTTGCTATCCACTCACTTCTCAGTGCTGCCTCTGTCTGCAGCTGGAAGAGAGCATCTTCGAGATGGTCTGAAGACAGTGGTCCGCTGGGTAGCCCAGTAGACTCATCAGGGAAGCTTGGGGAAAATGCTGATGCCCAGGGATACTGAATTAATTCACCTGGATGGAAAGGGGTTTTTAAAACTCCACAGATGATTCAGATGCAAAGCCAAGGCTTAGAATCACTCCTCTGAGACACCAAGGCCATACATTTACTTGAAAAACTGACCTTGGGAGAGAAAGTATGCCATGAGCCAGCAGTGACTCACTGATGGATCCCGATGAGAATTGAGATTGCAGATGTATGTTGTGTGACCATCACAAGGTTAAAACAACAGCAAAAAAGCAAGCAAACATTTTAAAACAAATAAGCAAGCCCTGATTTTGAATGCAGGCTTTTGTGATTCTTATGACGTCAGCTTCTGGCTGCTGAGAACAATGTACACACAGCCAATTGTTTTCCTTTAATAATGAAAGAGGATGGCAGGGCAGGGCGGTGGTGAGGTAGAGGCTGGTTGTGGGGGGGGATCGGAAACCTACAAGTAATTCACCTGAAGCTTTGACTACTGCCTCTCATGAGTTCCTACCTCCTCCCCACACCATTTTTCAAGAAGCCTTGGACCAGAGTCTGCTCTCGCTCCCATTAGGTGGCAGGCTACCTAGGAGAGGATCTTTCATAGGTTAAATCCATTTTAGGAACATTGATAGACTCTGGTGGTACAGGATGGTGAAAAGGGAGGAGCGGAGCTTGGAGCCCACTCCAGGGAATCTCTCTTCAGACCTTCTGGTTACTCCTGCAGGGTGGTTTGCTGCAGGCTTCACCCAGAAGCATTTGTTGGCAATGGGAACGATTCCCAAAAGTCAAGGCCAATGACATCACTCACATGGGGAAGACAGGCTAGTGGCTCAAATGCTAGTGACTTTCCTACTTGCTTCGCTCTTGCAGAATATATAGAAAATTTATTTCTAGAGAGCTACTAACAGTTATCTCCAGAAGGCAACACAACAGTTCTGACTCATTACCACACTGCCGTTAGGGACTCAATGTTATGTACCCTCAAGATCTATATGCTGAAAACCTAATCATCGGTGGGATGATGTTTGGAAGTAGGGCCTGTGGGAATAACTAGGTCACAAGTGAATGGGATCTGTGTCCTTCTAAAAGAGGCCCTGCCTTCCTTCTTCCCTTAGTAGGGCTCACCTGTGAGCAGGAAAGCCTGCCTTCAACAGGCATCACCTCTGCCGCCGACTCGACCTGCAATTCGGAGCCTCGGGAACTGTGAGAAACGAATTTCCATTGTTGGTAAGCCAGCCCGCATAAGGTGAGTTGATGTAACAGCCTAAATGGACTCAGCCATTGTTTCTACCACACGTGGCTACTCTCATTTTTGTAGAACCTGAGACCCCCTCACAGTCTTTTAAAATCCCTCACCCTAGCCACCTCACCACACTTCCCAAAGTCAGAGCAAGGCAGATCAATGACGAGAGCTCGGTGAATAGTGGGTTGCGTTCGTTTTCAGTACCCTCCCCCTTTATTTAAACACTTACAGGTTGGACTATAAAGTCTCAAATCCCCGTGGTGATAGCACATAACAAGTGGTGCTGAAAGTTCAGAAGTAATAATAGTCTGGATTAGCTGTACGTTTGCAAGCCATCTAAATGAGCCTGGGTCTGTGGTCAGGGCTTCTATTTCTGCTTCCTTCAGTGGGTGCACCAAAGGTCAGACCCGTTCTTGTCTTAATCCTTTAAATCAACGTGCACCTGTCCACAGTGAAAGGAACACATAAGTGTACGGACCTTTCAGATTCAAATATGGTGGAGGGGAAGGTCCTGAGTGCCCTGGGGCTCTCACCCTTCCGGAGCTCATCTATCCCTGTCCTCACCTACTGAGAAGACAGCGGAGAACCAGGATGTGCGGTTGTGTTTGTCTCCAAGATGCTCATGCGCACAAGGTTTTAGTTAACCGCATCTGTAGGCTGAGTTCTTATTTTGAGGTATGGTTTCATAACAACACCTGGCCAGTGTTCTGGACCAGACAAGACTGGAGCGATGCACAGGCATCCCCCAGACTCACATTTTTTCCAGTACAGTCCTACCCATGTGGACGTATGCAAGACGTATATCGTTATTTGAACACGGCCACTTCATCCTAGGCAAACTTAGCAAACTGCTACTAAGTAATTTCACATATTCCAAAATTCAATAAACATCATTAATGGGGTCACTCTGATTCTAGCCTTTGCTGCTTCCACTGAGATCCCGGCTAGTGCTGCATGTCTGTCTGCGTGAGTGGCTAGCACAGAACCACCGTCTGATTTTGAGTTTGGGAGTTTTCATTCATTTGTCTATACTTTCTCTTCATCATCAAGCAGGAGAGGTACCCCCATGGAAAGTATTTTGTAGGCTTTTTCATTACTGCTACTGATGTGCCTGCTCCCGACTGGGACTTTCACATTGATCTCTCCTTGATGACCTGCCCAAGCTGCCTTATATAGGAATGACCAAGGATGTCTACTTATTCAGTAGACGATGGAACCGCTGAGCCAAAGCCAGCCCAAGGACGTTTACTTATTAACGCAACCCTGGTGTCATCCGAGACCCCATCCTGTCCATTTGTGTGCTAGGTTCGTGACCTCATTGGTGCATCCTTCTGTCTCTTAGGTCACACTTGTCATGCACAGGTGAATCCTTTTAAGTAAAAGATCTGAATTTGGCATCAGACTCTGCTCTGCACTCTCAGTCATGGCAGACTCTATTGTCCTAAGCCCAGTGCAAAGGTTCATTTTATATATTGGGGTGGGTGTTGTGATGCAGTGGGTTGAGCCACTGCTTATGACCCTGCCATCCCATATCAGAGAGAGCACCAGTTCAAGTCTCAGTTTCTCCCCTTCTAATCCAGCTCCTTCTTAATACACCTGGGAGAGAAGCAGGAGATGTCCAAAGTACTTAGGTCCCTGCTACCCATGGAGCAGACCAGGATGGAGTTCTAGATTCCTGGGTTCAGTCTGGCCCAGACCTGGCTGTTTCAGCAATTCAGGGAATGAATTGGTGGAAGGAAGATCTGGGTCTCTCTCCATCTCTCTGTGTCATTCTGCCTTTCAAATAAATAAGTAAATGAATAAATATATCTAAAAATATTTCATTTTATGTGTCAGCTTGACTGTGCTAAGAGATGCCCAGGGAGCTGCTAAAGCGTTGTTTCTGAATTTGAGTTTTCCTGGGTGAGTGCACTTGAATCACTAGACTGAGTGGAGAAGATCCTCCCCCACCAGTGTGAGTAGGCATCACCCAACCCATTGAGGACTGATGAGACCAACAGGGCAGGGGAAGAGTGAGTGTGCTCTCCCTCTGGAAGCCAGGGATCATCTACTCCTGCCCTCAGAAGTCAGAACCCCCGGGTCCCTGGCCTCCAGAACTGAGTTTAACAGCAGCAGCTCCTCCCAGATCTGTAGGCTTTTGGATTCTGAGTGACACCAGGGCTTTCCTGGTTCTCCAGGGTGGAGATGACATATTGTGGGGCTTCTTGGTTTGCACGATTGCATGAGCCAATTCCCGTGATGAGACTCCTCCTCAGTCTGTAAATCTTAGCCTCTTACTTCTTTTTCTCTGGATAACCCTAACTCACCCGATGTCCCAGCTAAGGAAAACTGGCTTCTCTACCAAAAATGGAGTCTGCAATCACCAGGCAGTTGAGATGCAAATATATGTAATATAAAACGAAAAATGATGCCTGTGTGTTAGAATTAAATGTTCGTATATGGAGGGGCTTTGCTCATTCATTTACTCAAACAGCATGCATTTGATGAGAACTTGCGGGGAAGCCACTGATGCCCCTCCCACATCCCTGCAGATCGCCTTGGTCCCTTGTGGCCCGGCCGCAGCTTCTGTAGGCTTTGCTGCTATCCACTCACAGCCGTGCCCACGTTCAAAGATTTGGCTGTGGCAAACGAGACTTCCTCGCCCATGTAGAGAGCTGAGCTCCTGAAGCCCTCTCTGGCCTCTGCTGCTTTCGACTGAGTGGTGTTGTAGGGCCTGCTCTGCGCTCCCTCGGCAGTCCTGCATCGTGTGCGCTCGGTGTGGACATGATGTGAACTTGGGGTTTACATTGTGCCCCAAGGAAAGCCATCCAGATGGGCGCCTCCCATGTGCCAGGCACTGTGATTGTGAATGAGTGGAGCAGACCACTGTGAACAGACTAATAACCAACCTAAAGCCTGGATTTTAGATTGTCGTTAGGCATAGTAGCTCTCTATTTAACTGTGTGGCATGCCAGGGTCCTGGAAGGGTAGAGATGGCTTGCTGAGATGAGGCGCTGAGAAAACAGATTTGTAAAGGGATTGTGAATGCAGATGTGTATGCAAGGAAGTAGGGAAAGCGTGAAGAGTAGTGCAATATCCCAGAGCTTCTAAAAGTAGCCTAAAAGACTCATGGAGGTACGTTGAAATTTTAAGGAATTTATGTGGGCAACCAACAATTCACAAATTGAAAAGCACCAGGCCTCAAACAGTTAAGCACCCCGCTGGGAGACTAGCATAAGAAACTTGGGGAAGATGTTTGAGTAGCAAGATCGAGTATTTTTGGTGGGTTGCAGTGTAAAGTCCCTACGTGGAGGTTAGTTGAAAGATCCTGATTGGGTACATGTAAGTTTAGACTTACTGCTTGCATTGAGTTGGGTTTGGGTTTGCTCACATGGAAACCCAAGGCGCTGCAGCCATTTCAGCCTACAGACACCCGCCCCAGTGAATGATGTTAATAAATGGGGAACTCCTCCAGAGAGACGAGTCGCTTGGCTGAAGTTGTGGCCCCTCTCAAAGGACAGAATCAGACTAAGGGGACCACAGGGAATCCAGGGAGAAGGGCAAATGTGTGCCTGGATGGTTAATGAGCTTGTCAGCACATACAGTATGGCATTGTCAGAATTGCTTGAAACTACTTTTATGGGCCATCTACTGACAGCTCATGGAACACGGAGCTTGAGAAACACTGTAGTGCCATAAACACCACGGCACTATTTGAGGATTATCCCCTTAAGAAACACAATGTCTCTATCTACAGAACGTTCCTGCTTCATATATCCCCCTTCCCGCTTCTCTCTCCAAGTTATTGAAGTCATGGGCCTACTGCCAAGCAATAAAACCAAAAACCTTAAAAAATGATCACTCTTGATCTCACACTTGCATATGGAATCTAAAAAGCTTGAACTCATAGAAGCAGGGGGTAGAGTGGTGGTTACCAGGGTTCATGGGGAGGATGTTGGTCAGACGGCGCAGTTTCATTAGGAAGAGAAAGTACTGGAAAATCTACAGCATAATATGGCAAATATGTCTAGTAATAGCGTAATGTATACTTAAAATTGCTAGGACACAAGATCTGAAACATTCTCACCACAAAATGAGTGTGTAAGGTGATGGTCATGTTGGCTCGATTTATTTATGTCACAATGTATGGATGTCAAAATATCACGTTGTACACGGCAAATATCTCGTGTTTTCATTTGTCAAGAGTCAATCTGTAAATAAAGAACTTCTCAGGAGAAAAAAAAAGATCTAGCTCCTAGCTCCCATCATCCTGGTCTTAAATCAATTACCTTCTTCTCCACATGTGACATGTAACATGCCCGCCCCCCCAACCTGGTATTCTTGTTCTCGAGTGTAGACTCACCTTGTGTTTCCTCAGTAGAGTTTCTGTTCCCACCTCGAGTCTGGTTCAGCCTCTCCCTGCGCCCTGCCCTGGACAGCAGCATCAGCTAAACCTTTTCGTTGTCTTTTCCGTAGGCAGGGCGCTGCCGTCCCCACCACTAGGGGGCAGTGCTTCGGGAAGCCGGTTGGACACCTGGCTTGGTGGGCAGAGGAGGGCGCCGGCTGGGCGTTCAGTGGGGGTTCTGTGCACCCCGTGCGGACTTCCGAGGCCACAGCCGATTTCTCGAAGGAACCTCCTGAGTCTTGAGAAAATGGTCAGTGACGCCCACTGCGCTCAGTTCAAGAAGGTGGCGGAGAATGCTGCGCACCTTTTTGGTGTTCATCTTGGGGCTGGCGATTGGCACAACAGCCATTATGCCGGCATCCCATACTGGAGCGCCTGGGTGGGAGCCCTGGCTTCCCTCCGGAGTCCACCGCCCTGCTAATGTGCACCATGAGGGGCAGCAGGAGATGGCCTCAGGTACTTGGGGCTCTGTCACCCATGCAGGAGACCCCAGATGACCTTACAGACTTGTGGCCTGCTGTAGGCATTTGGGGGAGTGAACCCACAGGTGTAAGATCAGTCTCACACTCCTGTGTCTGCCTTTCAGCCTGTCAAATAAAGGAATTGATAGTAATGGATGACACCTGCTTCCACCAGCAGCCAGGCACCAATCTGAATTCCCCACCTGGCTTCCTTTGATCCTCACCGTATCCTACACAGCAGGAATTGTGCGTATCATTTTACAGGACAGGAAAGTGCGGGCGGTGAAGTGAAGTCAGGTGCTCACCTGCCTCACTGTGAGTGTGTGAGCGAATCACACTGGAAGCAGGGCCAGCTGCTAGTGGAATGCTTTGACTTCCATCTTCCACTTGCAAAACCTAACAAAAGTTCTAGTGGTTCATGGGTTACACTGTCAGCTGTCTGTGTGCACTGGCCAAGTCTGACAATGGAGACAATATTGTAATTTTTTTTTGACAGGCAGAGTGGACAGAGAGAGAGAAAGGTCTTCCTTTTGCCGTTGGTTCACCCTCCAATGGCCGCCGTGGCTGGTGTGCTGCGGCCAGCGCATCACGCTGATCTGAAGGCAGGAGCCAGGTGCTTCTCCTGATCTCCCATGCAGATGCAGGGCCCAAGCACTTGGGCCATCCTCCACTGCACTCCCGGGCCACAGCAGAGAAGAGGGGCAACCAGGACAGAATCCAGCACCCCAACCGGGACTAGAACCTGGTGTGCTGGCGCCAGAGGCGCAGGATTAACCTATTGAGCCACAGCGCCGGCCAATATTGTGTTTTAAACCTGGCTGATTGAGAGGCAGTGTTCCAATGTAACAGGATAAACAGGACAGTAAAAAAGTCTTTCCCAGAGTGATGATCTCTGAATGGTAGAATTGATATGGGATAAGTATGCAAGGAGTTAGTTTGGGCCTGGTCACAAGGATGTATAATTCAATCATCCTGAAAGAATAAATGAAAATTCATTGGGTTTTACTTTTAAGAAATCTTTAGTAGGGAAGCCACCCCATGGTGTGTTGTGGAGGCCATCCAGTGTTTACACCCCTTCCGGGATCTAGTTTGTCTTTTATCAGCCCCTGGCTTCTCTGCGGCCTCAGATGGCCACTTCCTGCCCGAATTCTCAGAACCTGCAGGTCCCACTATTGAGAGTGATGAAGTCTCATGTGATCCAGAGGGAGGCCTGTGTCACTCTGTGAGGTTCTCAGTGTTTGCTTCTAATGCCATCATTTTATATATATATATATTTTTTTTTTCAGGCAGAGTGGACAGTGAGAGAGACAGACAGAGAGAAAGGTCTTCCTTTTCTGTTGGTTCACCCCCCAATGGCCGCTGCCACCAGCATGCTGCGCCTGGCGCACCGCACTGATCTGAAGCCAGGAGCCAGGTGCTTCTGGTCTCCCATGCGGGTGCAGGGCCCAAGGACTTGGGCCATCCTCCACTGCACTCCCTGGCCACAGCAGAGAGCTGGACTGGAAGAGGAGCAACCGGGACAGAATCTGGCGCCCTGACTGGGACTAGAACCACAGGCAGCAATTAGCCTATTGAGCTGTGGTGCTGGCCCATCATTTATTTTAAGATTTATTTTATTTGAAAGAGTTACAGAAAGAGGTAGTGGCAAAGAGAGGTCTTCCATCTGCTGGTTCACTCCCCAAATGGCTGCAGCAGCTGGAGCTGGGTTAATCTGAAGCCAGGAGCCAGGAGCTTCTTCCAGGTCTCCCACATGGGTGCAGGGGCCCAAGGACCTGGCCATCCTCTCCTGCTTTCCCAGGCACATTAGTGGGGAGCTGGATTGGAAGTGGAGCCGCTGAGACTTGAACCAGCAGCCTTATGGGATGCTGCTGCTGCAGGCTGGGGCTTTAACCCACTGCACCATGGCATCGGCCCCTCTAGTGCCATCGTTTTAAGGACACACTCATCTAAAAGTGTGCTGTGCAAGCCGTGGAGACGCACTGCACTCAGGATTTCCACCTCAGCAGGGCCAGTCTGAGATCAGCAGGTAACTCCTGGGTTGCCCCACGCAAAAGTCACCATGATAGAAGGGGAATTTTCTCCTGCTCAATCTATAGGTAAAATTTTTGCAGGATACGCTGAATCTGTTAAAGTTTGCCCCATTTCAAGAATGCATGGGGATCACAAACAACTGCAAAGTATCTGATTCTTGTCTTTTTATGATTTGTTTGAGGGAGCTGGAGTTAATATAAGACACACAAAGACAAATGGGGGCGGGGGTCAAGACCAGATGGAAGTCCCCAAGTGGGTGACCCCTGCTTTGATGGAACTGTGCTGTCTGATGGCACCACCCAAAGACTTCTGGGAAACGGGAGTGTGCTCCCTGGCAGTGTGCATGGGAAAGAGCTCTGCAGTTAGTAACATAACCAGTCTATTTGTCAAGTCCCCTGCTTTGTACCTGTGGCTAAGAACACATCCCTTGAATGGATGCATTTAGGGTTTCTATCCAACCAGTAATCAGGGATTGGAGAAGGTTCTGGATGCTATTTTTGAACACAGAATAATAAGCAGTCATTTATGATGCTGAGGAGTATATTTATTGATAGGATGAAAGATAGTCCCATTATCGTTAAGTTTTCATATGTAGGATCTGCACCGGTGTAAGCCCATTTGCCACACATATATTTAGATAAATGCATGGGCGGGGTGGAGAGGCTGAAAGGCCTCTGCCACAGTGGTGATCTCTGGTAGAATCCATGTGGAATAAATTCGCGGGGAGTTAGTTTGGGCCGGCTGGAATTCTTACAATAGCAGCTATCTCTTTAACTGTCGATTTGATACGCCCACTTTCCCAGGACGCACCTGTCACATCTGGGCCCAAGGTGCATGCTAAGACCCCCACCCCGTTCCTTATAAATAGGGGTGACAGCGGGAAGGCACGCCTTTTCCGCCGCGGACCTGCCTGGGAGCCCCGTCTCCTTTTCGCTTTGTTCCTGCCGTGGACCTCACTTACAGCTACTGCTCCGGTTTTTGCTCCATCCACTGTGGAAAGACTTGCTCTCGCGTGTACCTCTCCCGCCTCTCGGACGGACCTTCCCAATTTCAGGTACGATTTTTGGTTTCTCTTTCCTCTCTAGTTTATGGCAATTCCTTGGCCCACTCATGGTGGGTATCTGTCACGGTGGAGCAGCCTACCCGTGTGTGCGAGTGTGTATTCTCTCACTGCCAAGAAAATACTGTGCCTCTGGGCACACAGTACCAGCCTCTGGTTAGTGTTTGTGTTTCTGCGGGAGGCAAGGACCTAGGTTCAAATTGGATATAGTCCTTGCAGACATCGTAATGGCAAGCCAGTAGCCAGAAGTGCGTCACCCCCAGACGGCAGTGGGTTGCCCCTTGGTGCAGTCTTCCATCTTTAAGAGAAGCCCTGTGGTGGAAACCAGTTTGCAGTGTAAAGAGTTTCTTCTCGTTTCTGTGTTCGGAGTTTTGGTTGTTTTGAATCGTGAGCGTGCGTACATCTGTTGTCGCGGTAGCTGTCTGTCGTTTATGCGCCTTCAGCAGCAGGGTGCTTCCGGGGCTGTCGAGCGAGGCCGACACATTGGTTCTTGGCTTTGGGCCGTAGCTACTCGGTTACACGCGGCTGACCCCGCTTCATCCTCCTCATTGTCGTCTTTTCACCTGTGGCTCCTTCATTCCTCCCCTCTGCTTAATGGAAGCGGAGGAGCAAAGGGCCACTTCTGCTGTCCAGCAGCTACATCCGGTTGCAAGGGGAGGGATTTCCTGCCGTGTTAGACGTTTGGCTGCAGAGGAGGTGGGACTTCCTGCCGTAGCAGAAGTAGGGTTTGCCCTTGCAGCTCAGAACAGTAGGCCAAGGTCTGCGTTTGGGCAGCAGCCAGCCTACTCACAGTTGGGGCTTGATAGCTGCAGCGCCCTCCCTGCTCTGGTACATCTAGTAGCTGTGAGGAAGGAGGCTTTTGGTTCCTGGCATACAAATGTAGCTTCCGCTAACCAGACGGAACCTAGCATTCCATACACTGTCAAGTGTTCCCTCACTGCGGTGCTCAGCTTTAAGAAATGCAAACGCTGGTATTTCTCAGCTCCAACATCTGAAGATGCTTGGCTGCTAGTACCACCCTGGAGCATAGGGGTTCAATGCCTCCTAGAGGTTGAAGAATCTGGTGGCAGCATTGATGGCTCCCACAGCATTGGAGGCCCTGGGAAGAGGCCCCTATCATAGGTAAGTTAATTGTCTCCAGGTGGACTGGCACTTTAGGTCCAGCAGCACCACCTAGTGGCCAATTGTCCTAGTGTGCTAGTTATCTATGTATGGCACTGGGTGGTAGTGTTACCCCAGGTCCAGATCAGTCTGCAGGGAGCCCCCACGTGGGTTGGCTGGCACAGAACACCCCATTTTGGGATACAAAAAGAGATTCTGATGCACCAGATTTCATCTAATGGCCAGTCAGTAAAAGAGAGGGATTCAAGTCACATGGCTAAGCACAGCTAGGTTCACAGAGTCGTGTCTACTTTTGTATTTTCAGGTTCTGCGGAGTTTGAGCTGTGTACAGTTCTGCCTTAATTCCTAAGGGTACAGTTTCAGAAAGTGGCCGTAGTTCCCCAGATCCTCCCAGGAGTGGGGTGGTAAAACAGCATTTCAAGTGTTAACTAATGGAAACGGGGCTGACAAAGAAAGGGCACTCCAGCATGGGAAGCGGTCCACACAGCAGATGCAGAGGGTAAGGGAGCAGTTGCTTTAAACATTGCCCAGTGACCTGAGAATCCGCTCAGGAGGCATTCTCACTCAGGAGAGTGAGGTGTGGAAAGCTGAGACACTGGTGCACGTAATGTCCCTCCATGGAAGACCCCCAGTCCATGCTCCCCAGTGCAAGAGAAATGGTCCTTGGGAGAGGGATTGTCACCTCTGCAGAGTCTTGTCTAAAGGCTGATGGGGTCTGAGGATTCAGGGGTCTCGGCCATCTAGGCTTCTCATGTCAAAGCCCTGGATGATTGCTGATGTCATTGGTAAGAGTTAATTTTTTAAATTGACAACAGGAATTGCTGTATATTGAATTCCCATACAGGATCTTAATCTTCAAAAAGTTGTATTGTTAGGGGAGTTGATGATAAATCTAAGAAATTTATTTTTGCTTCTGGTTTGTCAAATAGAAGATGTTCTTATCTCTTGTCATTTTTTGGTGATGTCTGAATGTCCAGCTCTTTTACTTGGAAGGGATTTGCTGTCACCCTTGGGTGCTTCCCTCATGTTGATTGCTGCTAAGTCTTCGTCATTTGTTAAGATGTTAGCAAACACTGAGGCAGGCCCTAGTTTGGATGACCTTCCTATTGAAATAAAAGAATAGAGCCTTACGTCTGGGATTAGGAACTACCTAGACAGGCTACACATGCTGTGCCTATCAGAATCTTCTTAAAGGATAAAACTCCATTTCCCCATCAAAGTCAGTGTCCCATAAACGATTGCTTGTCAGTCTCTCTGTAATACTTTCATTCTGCCTGTTTTAGGGCCAGAGAACACAGGGTGGTTCAGGACCTCAGAGCCATTAATGAGGCAGTCATTCCAATTGATCCTGTTGTGCCAAATCCTTATTATATGAACACGGAGGGCACTTTGTGATACACAGTCCTAGACTTAAAGGTTGCCTTCTTCATCCTGTTAAACCCAGAATTCCAGTTTTTGTTTGCCTTTGAATGGATTGATCCACCTTCAGACCTGATTCATCAATGTAAGTCCTCAGTCTGGCTACTCTCTTGTCATCTGAGAGTACTGAAGAATTGGCTCACTGTTGTGTAGAGACCATAGAGCAAGTGTATTCAGTAGGCCTGATCTATGAGGTAAACCTCGGGAAAATCCAGACGTCGAATGGTGGATCAGGTGATGGAAGCTCAGGCTTTGAGCATTGCCATCTCACACTTCAGCTCAAAAGGCTGAACTTAAATGCTTTGACTCGATCTTACAAGTAGGCAAGAGCCAAAGAATCAGTATTTGCACAGATTCCAAATATGCACTCCTGTGTCACATGCACGTACAGCAATTTGGGGATAAAGAAGCCTACTGACTGTAAAGAACTCGGGTATTAGTTCTCCTTCAGGCAGCCAGTACTGGAACCTCTGGAAGTGGCTGTATTCACTGCAGGGCACTCCAGTAGAAACAGTCATATTAGCAAAGAAAATACATGAGCCGATAAGGCAGCAAAAAGACCTGCTGCACAGGCGGATCTAGAAATTGCTTTAATACCTCAACCTGTAGAAGTAACCAAAAATCAGTACCTGAGACAGAATGGGCCCAGCAATGAGATCACACTGAAGATGCCAGCGGCTGGTGGACTGTAGATCATAAGTCATGCTCCCAGGGCCCTCGCAGTGAAAAATTGTTAAGGAAATGCATGACTCTAACCATGTGGGAAGAGGAACACTGAGGCAGATAGTTGTTAGGTATTTTGAGGGAAAGGGCTGCATGCTTGTGGTAAGAGGAATAAATCAGTCCTGTTCTCTCAGTTTTCAAAATAACCTAGTGGTCACATCAGGCTGCCCCGTTTACTTTTGTACAAAGCAGAGGAACATATCCAAGTGAAGACAGTCAAACTGACTCCACCAACATACCCACAGCAAGTGATCACAACTGTGTACTAGTCTTTATTGATAGTTTCACAGGACGGATAGAAACTTTCCCAACTTGAACAGAGAAGGCACAAGAGGTATCTAAAGTAAGTCAGCGGACAGCCACTGCTCTAAGGCTCTCTTATCTGTATTCCACTTGGAGAGTTCAGCCATCAGGTCAAGTTGAGAAAGCTAATCATAGTCTTAAGAAAAGTCTGGGGATCCGTGCTGTGGTATAACAGGTAAAACTGCTGCCTGCAGCACTGGTGTCACATTTGGGCACTGATTTAAGTCCTGGCTACTCCACTTCCAGTCCAGCTGCCTGCTAATGTGCCTGGGAAAGCAGCGGAAGATGGCTGAGGTACTGGGGCCCCTGCACCCACATGGGAGACCCGGAAGAAGCTTCTGGATATTGGCTTTGGGTCAGCCCAGCTCTGATCACTGTGGTCATTTGGGCAGTGAACCAGTAGGTGGAAGATCTCACTTGCTCACTCTCTCTATCTCCCCACAGACCATCTTCCCAGGAGACTTGGTTTTGTTAAAGACTTGGAGAGCAGGCTCCTCTTCTGACCTGTTACAGCCTAAGTGGAAGGGACCTTAACGTGCTTCTGAGCACTCCCACTGCAATTCAATTACAAGTTTTCCAAGCTGGGCACCTGTGTCAAGACTTTAGCTGTTACCTCTTGAGTCTTCACAGGTTCAAGCAGAGGATAAGGCTGCCTACTTTAATGAGCCAACTGAAGACCTCAGGTACCTCTTCAAAATCAAAAAGGTAAGTAAGTCTTTGCTTTTGTCATGTTAGGGTTGTCATATTTTATGGCAGACATGTTTTATGTATCTCTTCTGATTCTCTCAGAAAGAGGCAGGAAAACTAATGAGTTCTTCTTTAGCAGTAGCAGATACTACTATGCCCCATGAAGCCATTTTTAAAAATGTCTATTTCCTGGGGCAATCTAGCCTACCCTTGAGATCAGCTCTCACATCCACCCTAACAGGAGTATGTTCACCAAAAGAGACATTACAAAGCTTTTATGTCCAGGCCAGATGGTTTTATAAACTAGGCTGGGACAGTCTTATCAGCCCCTAGTATTTGGGAAGAGAGATTCTACTTGCTAGCTATCTTTTTCCAATGACCCTCATCCTGATTGATAAATTTGTTTCAGAGTTCAGCAGCTTCTCAAAGTACTGAAGACCACGTGGGGGCCACAGCCAGTGGCAACAACTGATGAAAATCTTCTGACTCATGAGATGAAACCATTAGATAAGATAGGAAGAGATTTCTGGACCCAGGTTAGGCTGGGACTATGGCCCTGATTAGCAGGAAGTAGATACAGAAGATGGAACTTCGTCCCTCAACAACCCCTAAAGATTAAGGCTCAGAAGCCCCTGAGGGGGAAGTGATGTAGAATAAATAGGCAAGGAGTTAGTTTAGGTGGACTTCAGTTCTTGTAATGCTATCTCTTTAACTGTTGATTTGATACGCCCACCTTCCTAGGATGCACCTGTCACATCCAGGACCAGGGCATGTGCTAAGACCCCACCCTATTTGCATACCCAATTGGGATACCACCCCCTTATAAAAAGAGGCAGAAAGGGGAAAGAGCTTTCTTTCCTTCATGGACACTGCTTAGAAGTACCACTCTGAGCTGGCGTTGTGGTGTAATAGTGCCAGTTCACGTCACAGCTGCTCCACTTCTGATCCCGTTTCCTACTAATGCACCTGGGAAAGCATCAGAAGATGACCCAAGTGCTTAGGCCACTGCACCCACATGAGAGACCCAGAAGAAACTCCCTGGCTCCTGGTTTGGGCCTGGCCAAGTGCTGGCCATTGTGGCCATTTGGGGAGTGAACCGGTGTATGGAATATATCTTTCTCTCTCACTCTAACTCTGCCTTTCAAATAGATAAATAAATCTTTTTTTTTAAAGTACCGCATCATTTTTGCTCTTTCTGCTGTGGACCTCGCTTAGAGTTAGTGCTCCCGTTTTTGCTCTTTGCTCTGTGTAATGCAGTCGCTCTCATGGGCAATCTTCCACCGTGGAGCTCAAACACATCTTTCCCCGCCTCCCACCCTCCTTGGACAGACCTTCCAAAGCAAGGCACTGCTTTTGGTTTTCCTTTTCTCTTCAGTTTGTATCAATTATTTGGCACACTCACACGTGAATGTATGTTTATTCTCTGACTACCAAATGAATTCTATTCCTGTTTGCACATGATACCGGTCTCCACTTAGCATTTCTATCTCTCTGGGAGGTAAGAGCCTGGATCAAAAATTGATATATTCACTACCCACATCAGAATTATAAATGATACTTCTTCGACTTTTTGCCTGCCTTTTTACTCATGGAGGTTTTCACATTTTTTACCCAACCATGTATGACATGTGTAACTTTCTCAAAGTTTACCAAAATATGTACTTCATATCACTTGCAGTCAAGGGTTTGTATAGTAGAGCCTTATGACCTTTCTAACCCACTTGTTCTCCTAGTGATACAATTTCTCTCCTATTCTGACTCTGGATCCACAAAGCTGAAGGGAGAACTGGCCATGTAAAATCACTGCGTCACCCAAGGTTGTGTTTTTCTCCCTTGCTTCCAGAATGAATCTAACTCCCCTGTATCCAAATAGTTCCTGACTGCTCCTCCTCTCAGCCAGCAGGCTATGCCAGGCTCTGTGCTGTCCCAGCCAGTAGACATGGGATGCTTTGGGAAATTAACCAAATACTTTACTGGTACTTGCCAAAACTGTCAGGGTTATCAAAATCAAGGAAAGTCTAGGAAAACAGTGTGATCTAGAGGAGTCCAAGGAGTCGTGATGACCACATGTAGTGCAGTGACCTGGGTGGGATCCTGGAACGGAAAATAGTACAAGATAAATACTAAAAAAGTTCAAGTAAAGTAGCAGCATTTATTAATAATGCATAACTATTGATGTCTGAGGTATAACACATTGCCCTCCTGAGATAAAATGTTAGCAATAGTGGCAGTGGAATGAGGGATGTCTGAGAATGGAATTCTATGTCCTATTGCCACAAATTTTTCTGTAAGTTTAAAGCTACTTTAAAATTTCGATTCAAGAAAATTTCCCTACTTTCAGGCTTGCCATATTTTTTAGACATATAAACATTGCCTGTGCCCCTGTGAGTCCACCTTTCAAATTTGCTTGAAGAAGCACCTCTGAACATTGTATGTAAGCACTGTATTCATTGGAGCACTGTAATAACAAAAAAAGAGCAATCTAATTTATATGAACAGTGGTGGTGTTAAATGAATTATAGCATATCCATCTGACACAAAAAACAGGCATGCAGCTAATTAAAAAAAGAAAAAAAAATATGAAAAAAAACCTCCCTGAACATGAAATGACAGAGGCAAGGCTTGGAAGATGATGAATAATAAAGTCTTGTGTAACTAAGTGATATATGTTGCATTATGAATAATACAGTCTGTCTTGCATAACTAAGTAGTAAGGACATAAAATGCAGATCTATTTGTATGTGTTGCTACAAACATGAAAGATTTTCTGGAAAGGTATTCTGGAACCATGGAGAATTGTCAGTTTGGAACTGTTGCTGGAGGCTATGAAGGGCATTTTCTATTAAATCTTTTTTTTTCCCCCAAAGATTTATTTATTTACTTTGAAAGAGTTACACAGAGAGAGAAGGGGGGGGGGGTCTTCCATCCATTGGTTCACTCCCCAATTGGCTGCAACGGCCGGAGCAGCACCTATCCAAAGCCAGGAGCCAGGAGCTTCCTCTGGGTCTTCCACACAGGGGCAGTGGCCCAAGGGCTTGGGCCATCTTCCACTGCTTTCCCAGGCCATAGCAGAGAGCTGGATCAGAAATGGAGCAGCCGGGTCTCAAACCTTAGCCCATACAGGATGCCGGCACTGCAGGTGGCGGCTTTACCCACTATGCCACAGCACCGGCCCCTCTATTAAATCTTTTATCTGCACATATTTTAATTGTTGAAAAGCATCATCCCTTACATAAATGATATCTTCACTGAACTAGACTCCTTGTATAATGATGCACCCTTCTCATTTTATGATCTTTGCCTTGAATTTCTAGCTATGTGATATTAGAACATCCACCCCTGCTTGCTTTTAATTTGTGCTTCTTTGATGTATATATCATTCTCTTACTTTCCAAATCTTTTTGTTTGGAGATGTATCTCTTACATATGGCACACAGCTGGGTTTGCTGTGTGACTCATTCTCATATATAATATACACATATGTAATACAAATGACTATAATATAATAAATGATTTACTTTTATTAGAAAAGAAGTAAATAAAAATTAAAACCACCACCCTTGGAGGTCACAAGCAGCCTGGCCTCAGGTTCACACACAGCTGAAAATGAACCTTGGAAAGCATGCACATCTCCAAGCCACTCTTCCTGAATGTTTCCAAGAAACGCAGATTGCTACTACCCTGTGTCACATGACCCATTTTGATGACTACGTTTATGGGTCAACTTGACTGAGTTTTTTTTTTTTAAAGATTTTTTTTATTTGAAAGGCAGAGTTACAGAGAGGCAGAGAAATAGGGAGGGGGGTCTTCCATCCATTGGTTAACTCCCCAAATGGCCCCAGTGGCCAGAGCTGCACCATCTGAAGTCAGGAGCCAGGAGCTTCTTCTAGGTCTCCTACTTGGGTGCAGGGGTCCGAAGATTTGGGCCATCTTCTGCTTTCCCAGGCCAGAGCAGAGAGCCAGATAGGAAGTGGAGCAGCTGGGACTCAAACTGGTACCCATATGGGATGCTGGCACTGTAGGCGGTGGCTTTACTCACTATGCCACAGCACTGGCCCCATCTTAACTGAGTTAAGCAATACCCAGGGACCTGGCAAAATATGATTTCTGGATGTATTTTGCAAGGGTATTTGCAGAAAGGCTGACATTTCAAGCAGTAGAAGACTTGCCCTCCCCAGTGTGTGGGCACCTGGATGCAGCAAAAAGGCAGGAGAAGGGCCAGTCTGTCCTCTGCTATGGCGGAGACCTCCATCTTCTACCGCCCCTGGACGTGTGGTCTCCCGGCTATGGGGCCTTCATAGCCACACTGGAACTGAAGCCAGTGGTAGACATCCTTCCGCCACGCCCACCACCAGGCCTGTAGGCTCATACTGGGACCTGCACCGTCAGCCCCCAGGCTCAGGCCTTTGGATGGGGTCTGCATTCACATGACCTGCTTTCCCTGTCCTCTAGCTCACAGATGGAAGATAGGGGACTTCTCATCCTCCAGGGTTTTGATTTTTTGAAGATTTATTTGTTTATTTGAATGGCAGAGTTAGAGATTGATTTACTACCCAAGTGGCTGCAATGGCTGGGGCTGGGCTGGCCAAAGCCAGGAGCCTAGAGCTCCTGCTTCTCCCATGTGGTTGGTACTTGGGCCATCTTTCACTGCTTGTCCCAGGCCATGAGCGGGGAGCTGGATTGGAAGTGAACTGGAGCCCATATGGGATGCCAGCATCACAGGCAGCAGTTTAACTTGCTATGCCCCAATGCCATCCCTGGCCTCTGATTTTATTTTATTTATTTATTTATTTTTTTGACAGGCAGAGTGGACAGTGAGAGAGAGAGACAGAGAGAAAGGTCTTCCTTTTGCCGTTGGTTCACTCTCCAATGGCCGGCGCGCTGTGGCCAGCGCACCACGCTGATCCGAAGCCAGGAGCTAGGTGCTTCTCCTGGTCTCCCATGGGGTGCAGGCCCCAAGCACTTGGGCCATCCTCCACTGCACTTCCTGGACACAGCAGAGAGCTGGCCTGGAAGAGGGGCAACCGGGACAGAATCTGGCGCCCCGACCGGGACTAGAACTAGGTGTGCCAGCGCCGCAAGGTGGAGGATTAGCCTAGTGAGCCGCGGCGCCGGCCTGGCCTCTGATTTTAAAATACTAATTTTATTTTTATGACATAATATCTGTACGTATTTATGAGGTACAGTGGATGTTCTGATTCATGTAAATATAGGTAATGAGCAAATCTGTAATTAGCCTATCCATTCATCCTAAACTTTTCTCATTTATTTCATGGTGAGTCCATTCAAAATCCCATCTTCTGTTTTGAGGTGTACAGTGCATTATTATTAACTACTCACCTTGCTGTGCCTTCGAAGTCCATGACTGGGTGAGCCAATTCCTGTCATAATACTTGAGTGTGCACATACACTCTTGGTTCTGTTTCTCTGGAGAATCCTACTATATCACTAAAGAATTAATATTTATTATCCCTTCAAGCATTACTCTTAATTGTCTGTTGAATGCTATCATCTTAAATATCCAAGAGGAATTTATAGAAAATTATGTATGGGAGGTGTGCGTTTTAACAAATGACTGTGAATGAGAAATGAAGAGATTGGTGCATGGAGTGGATATGGGACTGTTGCTGTGAGGTAGGCTGTTAACAGAAGAGCCTGAGCTGGCTTGGGGATACATTGGATGGAGGGGGATTTTGCCAGGTTAGAAGGCTATGGATACCAGAAAATGTGATTTCAACAGGGAGATAGACAAAAAAAAGAAGGAACCCTGTCTTTACCTAATATGACTATTGAGAAGTCTTATTTTTTAAAGAAAGTTCTTAAAATAATTATTTATTTGAAAGGCAGAGTTACAGAGAGGCAGAGAGAGAGAGAGAGGTCTTCCATCCGCTGGTTCACTCCCCAGATGGCTGCAATGGCCGGAGCTGCACCAATTCGAAGCCAGGAGTCAGGAGTTTCCTCTGGGTCTCCACGTGGGTGCAGAGGCCCAAGAACTTGGTCTATCCTCCACAGCTTTCCAAGGCCATAGCAGAGAGCTGGATTGGAAGTAGAGCAGCCAGGACACGAAATGGAACCCATATGGCATGCTGGCACTGCAGGAGGCAGCTTCACCCGCTATGCCACTGCACCAGCCCGAGAAGTCTTACCTAACCCAATGATTCAGTCCTGGAGGTTTGTTAGAATCACCAGGGGAGTTTTCCAAAAATGTGTCGTTCAGCTGGGGATTGGAGAAACAAACTGTGGACATCCTTACAATAAAATAACACTCAGTAGTAAAAATGAATAAACTGTTGGCATGCACTGTATCCACCATATAACATATTGATGAATCTAAACTGCATTATTCTAAGTGAAAAAAGCCCAATCAAAGTGCTACATTTCTGTGATTCTATTTCTGTGATTCCATATCTGTGACATTTTTGAAAAAGCAAAACTGTAGGAAGCTAGAATAGGCTAATGATTGGCAGGAGCTAGGGGCGAGGGAATGGCTTGGCTACAGAAGGGCATAAGATAATAGAAGGAAGGCATGGAACGATTCTCCCATCAGTTGTGATAATTACATGACTATATACATTTGACAAAGTTCACCAAACTACTGAAATGGATGGGTTTATTGTATGCTTATTATACTTTAGTAAAAACAAATAAGTAAATATAATTCCAAGCCTTTCCCCCAATACATTTGATCTGGGGGGAGCCAGAGATTATTTTTAAAAAGCTCCTTGGAGGGAAATACCTGCTTCCATGCAAGGCAGAATAATAAGAAGCAAGTTTTATCTCTTCCCTTAGACAAACAAAGAACAGATAAAATACAGGAAGCAATGAATTCTAAGACCCTGGACATCCACGTTTGAGGGGTCTTGCAATTTGGTGGTGATGAATATGCTTCTTGACTGTAGGGATGTGAGGATGGGCTCATTAGTATATGCACATAAAAACTTAAATAATTCACTTTTTACACATGGAGACTGTTATCTATTAAATATCAGTAGAGAGTATATAAAAGGTGGTCACAAGTACTTTGCCCGAGCTGAGAACTGCCAGGCCAAGCAATTGACCTATCTAGTCCAGGGATCTTGCATCATAAAGCTATAATCATCTGATCTCAATGTAATGTGATGAGAACATTCAATATTAAAAGTTTATTGCAAGACATACTTCATTTAAAGGGAATTCATTTTGGAAAATGAGTTCAAACTTGCAGGAATAATACTTGTTTAAACTTTTTGTTGTTGTTGTTGTTGTTGTTGTTATTTACAAGGCAGAGAGAGAGTCAGAGATAGAGATGTCCCATCCACTGGTTCCCTTCCCCAAATGCCCAGAACATGTAGCGCAAGGCTGGGCTGGGTCAAAGCCAGGAGCCAGGAATTCAATCCGCGTCTCCCTTGCAAGGGGCAGCGACTCAATTACTTGAACCATCACCTGTTGTTTGCCAGCGTCTGCATTAGTAGGAAGCTGTAATCTGGAGCCAGAACCAGGACTCGAATCTTGGTATTTCTACTGTGGCTGAACCACTAGCCAAACATCTGCCCTGAAGGAGTTCCGAAGGTCTGCATCAAACATCCAGACAACTTGGCAACTTGGAATACTATAGGAAGCCTTAAAATTGTTCATAGCATTTAAGTCAGTCTAAGGACATAAATCAGTACAAGCATGCCACTACAGCAATGCTACAACGGCAAAAACACAGCAAGGAACTCGGTGTCCAAAGAAATGGACATGGCTGGGTGCATGTTGGTATATTGGTGGAAAGAATAGCATAAATCATTTAAGCTAATGCTCTAGGATCAGATCTAATGATGAGAAATTCTGATAGACAGGATGCTAGGGGCTGCAAGTAGCAGAAAATGTGAGCTAGCCTAGCCAGGGAAGCTATTTGTTCTCTCGTGTATCAGGATGCCCACTTTGGGGATGGTTGCCTCATGGGTTAATCCAGAAGCTTAACAAATGAGCATGTCCTGCTGCTGGCAATCTGTTTTATGAGCTGGTGCCCTTAAGTTGGCTTCTTCATCCTCCAAGTTTGTAAATGGCTGCGGTTTCTCTCTCTCTCTCTCTCTCTCTCTCTCTCTCTCTCTCTCTCATGAGTTTTTATTTAAAAGGGAAAAACTTTTCCAAGAAATTCCCTCATGAACTTCCCTCCCGTCTCTTTGACCAGAATAACGTCATACGCTCACTCCCCAGTGAGTCACGGACAAGGCTAGAGGAGTTATCAGTGATGACCTAGACCTATTAATTTCATTCCTTCCGGCAGGAGATGGTCCCAGCCTCCCCCCAGGCTCACAGCTGTCCTACATCCGAACAAAACCAGGGCAGGCTGGCAAAGGCAAAGCAAGAGAAACGGCTGTAGGCTCAGCTAGTGTCAGGAAGACAAAGTGAGGTCCATTTTTATAAATCAGAGTGAATGCAGGTAGGTGCAGACAGAAGAATCAGAGGCTACGCATTTTCCGAAGCTTATTCTCAGATGGTGGGATTGCAGGAAACGCTGCCGACCCTCTGTGTCCATAGGTTCTGCAGCCAGGGCTTGAACCAGCTGTGGATCGGAAATACACGGAGGGAAAACAGCATCCACGCTGGGCACTTACGGACTTACCCCCTTGTCATTATTCCCAGGACAATGCAGTGTAGTAAGTGTGTCCTTTACATTGTGTTAGGTATTAAAAGTGATTGAGAGGTGACAGAAAGCACAGGGGAGGTGGTTGTAGGCTACATGCCATGGCTATGTCATTTTATACTACAGATATGAGCAAACACAGCTCTCAGTGCTCACAGGGGTCCTGGAACACGTCCCCAAATAGTGCAGGCTACAGCCATATTTATTTCTCTTATTTTGATATTCCTCTCCCAAAAGTCTGCAGTGAATATACAACACATTTGAACTTAAAAAAATCCAAAAAATGTTATTTTTAAATAAAATATGTGCAGCTCTCCCCAGTACTTTTTTAAAAAGTAAATAAGTAAGAGCAATCGTGTAAACGAAGCCAAGGGGTTCTGCTGTGGCCGGCACCGGTCTGAGTGCCCTCTGAAGACACAAGGCCTCCTGCACCTCCACGAACCAGAGGACCCAGACAGCTGCCCAAGACCTCACAACTGCCCAGCAGTTCCCTTCCCAAAGCAGAAGGATGGACAGCACACACGGATTCCAAGCCAGTCCTCAGCGTGGGGCCAAGAAGACGCCACAGGCAAGTGGAAGCAGCAGGAACAGCTCTGCCACACACAGGAAGTCAGAAGTGGAGGAATGAGGGCTGGCTCTGTGCTTTAGCAGTTTAAGCCCCTGCCTGCAGTGCCGGCATCCCATGTGGGAGCTGGTTCAAGTCCCAGCTGCTCCACTTCCAATACAGCTCTCTGCTGTGGTCTGGGAAAGCAGTAGAAGATGGCCCAAGTGTTTGGGCTCCTACACCCATGTGGGAGACCCGGAAGAACCTCCTGGCTCCTAGCTTCAGACCAGCCCAACCCTGGCCATTGCAGCCATTTTGAGAGTAACCAGTGGCTGGAAGACCTCTCTCTCTCACTCTCACTCTCACTCTGCCTTTCAAATAAATAAATAAAAATCTTGAAAAATGGAAATGGAGGAATGAGAACAGCAGGCATGAAAAAGTAGACAATCGAAAACCAGCGAGGCCTCTCTATACCCCTAGAGGACATGCCCAGTTATTCTACCCTGGTGTGTCCTAAGTATCACCACCTACAGTCACTTCTCAGCCTGTAGCTTGGGTTCAAATCAATGAGGGAGACCAAGGAGGAGGGCAGCTCTTTCGCAGCCAAGGCAGAGACACACTCCTCCCCTCACACCCAGGCACCAGATCCTCTGTGCCGTACCCCAGTCTCCACCTGCAGCCCAGTGTTGGCAGTGCCCTTGGGAGGATGGGGTCTTGGGGGCAGGGTGTGTGTGTATGTGAGAGAAAGAGAGAGAGAGAGAGAGCGTGCGCGTGTGCAAGCGAGCGAGAAGCAGCCCAGGTGGGAAGGATTAGCACTTTAGAGTAACAGATATCCCAATCTGACTCCACCTGCTCCAGTTGTGGAAACCTGGACAAGTATTTCACCTCCGTCTACCTCCGTTTCTTCACCTGCGAAATGGGAGTGAGGCTTAATACGCGCAAAGTCCAGCTCAGCTCAGCTCAGCTCAGCATCACCGAGGGAGGAAGCAGGAAGGGAGGCCACTGTCTGCAAAGGCCCCTACACCGCCCACCTGGGAAACCTGTCCTCCTCCTCACTCTCACAGAAATTAAGCAGCAGCTCTGGGGCCGGGCGTCTGGGCTGTCACATTCACTTTCCGAACTGAGCCTCTAGCAGAGGTAGACCATGGGGCTTGCTCTCACCTGGAAAGGAATCAGCGCTTTGGAATTGAGGCCCAGTTACCTTCACCTGCGCACAAGCAGACTCCCTGGTGCTGGGGAAGTGGGCTCTGACTCCGCAGAAGAACACATCGTGCCAGAAGCAGAACACAGAATCAAACCGTCGGAACGCGCACATCCGTCTGTCCCGGACGTGTGGGCCGTGTGAACTGAAGAACAGAGGAGAAGGAAGAAGGAACACACAGCAGGAGGCGGACAGTGGAGTTTATCTTCTGCCTTGGAGTAGGTGTGACTTTGAGATTCATTCTCTCTCTCTCTCTCTCTCTCTCTCTGCTCTTTGCTGTCCCTGTGCCGGGGCTAAGCACAGCTAGGGAAGTGGCTCGTGAAGCTGGAGGCGAGGTGCAGCCTGAATTCTCTCCAGTGACAATTTCTGAGCCCCCATGCATTCGTGTTTCCACACAAGTCCTCCTATGCCTGTTGTGGACCTACAAGGGCTCCTTAGTGGGAAGCTTGGTTGCTTCCCTGGGCGTGAATTCTAATTTCATAATTTGAACCTGCCCTGAAAAAAAGGGGAGGCCGTGAGCGTGAGATCTTCTGGTCATATTTACTCGTTATGCACGTGGCAGGGTGGAAAAGCGCATCTCTTTCAAGCTCAGGACTCCACATGCCCACAGGGCTAAGCCTGCGCATGCCCCTTGTTGTATCTTGAAAAGCTGTGCTTTGTTTGCAGTATGTGTCTAAGAGAAAGAATGTTTGTCAAAAGAGGCGTGGTCTTGTCCAAGGTAGCAGGTGAGTTTGCATTTTGATGATTATGTGCAGTTGACAACAGTGACGATCGTGTAGCAGCCAGTGAGTTCTAACCCGCTTGCTGAGACCAGAGGGGTGAAATGACTTAGTCACAGAACTTGCTGCTGGCTGACCCAAGACCGAGACCTAGGGCTCTGTGTGAATATTTACTGATTTACTTAGGTTTTTAGTAATTTTTAGATAGCAGCTGAACTTCATCACAGAGTAACTCACATCCATCTTTTAAGTAGTCAGTGCTGCATGGTTTACAACAGAAAGCAGGATTTTGGGCTTGAAGGTAGCTCTCAGAGCTAACAACTCCCAAATCTGACTAACACCTCTGATGGCCTGTGCTTTCATGCCTCCCAACAACCTGCTGATCCTGGACTTCTCATTTTACCAACCAACTTTAGGCAGAATCTATTGATTCCTGATTTACAAACTGGGTATTTAGCACCTCTCCTCTCTTACCTATATCTGGCAGTTATTTGTCAGTATCTGGTTAAATCGATAATCAGAACATAAAGGATCACAGCCTTGTAAATGCCCTGCTGAGTCAAGTAGTATATTATGATTATTAACGTGTCACTTCTCCTCAAGCCCACCAACACAATGTGCTCTCCCCCCAGGTCAGTACTGTTCCTGGTTACATCTCCCAGGGAGCCCCATCCACCTGCCCCAAACCAGCCAGCTGCTCACTGGGCTCTGCCCACACGTGCAGCTGGGAAAGCCCTCCCCTGGATTCCCACTCTCTTGCCTTGTACTGTCCCTGATTGCTAGACCCTGTGTAGTCTTCTCCAACAAATTACTTATTCATTTTTGTGAAATACTGCCTTAGAAAGGATGTAAATGTGCTTATTAATTGGCTGCCTTCCTTTTAGTCTCACATTGAATGGATAGTTTGGCTGGGTATAGATGTCTCTTGCATTTCAGAGATCTGATGCTTCTTGGACTCCTAATTTTTAAAAACAAGCTCTGCTCTGTCATCCTAGAGGAAGACTGTTCTGTCTTCTCTGTATGACACAGTCAAAGTGTTACATGCAATGATTTGATAGTTTGCGGGCACACACACACACACACACACTCACACACAAACACACACACAGAAAGTAGCTGTTACCTTTCCTTTCTGGGAGGGTCGGGCCCCCCCTGGTGCCCAGGGCCTGTCACTGCAGGCTGTGCTACATGGCAACCACAGATCCTCACCATACCTCTCATGCAGATCGCAGGTTTACAGGTGATGTCAGTGGTTTCAGTTCGTCACAGTCACTTGGGGATGCTGGCTCTGGAGGGTAGCACGGCAGGTGCTTCCACCCTTAGTACAACAGGGAGTGGAGTGTGGTGAGTGGAATACAGGATAGGCTGCTTGCGACTAGGAACAGCAGGTGAAATCTAGAGGCAGTTCCATCCTAGAATGTGGCCAATAGCTCCTGGAGCCATGCACAGGAGGGTGTGGTATGCGTGCAGGGAAGGGAAGGAAGAGAAAGTCCACAAATGTCAGAGAAAGATGAGAGACTGGGAAGACACACGGCCCACTGTATAGGATTGTGGACTTGCATCTCAGAGTGCTGCGTTCAAATCCCAATTTTGTGATTTTAGGGTACTGAAGTGCTCTGGCCCTCAGTTTTCTCACTTGCAAAATGGGAACAATAATACTTAGCTTCTAAGATGATTATGTGAGCAAAATTTATCTTTCTTATAAATACAATTCTCAATAAAGTAGCAGGAGCACTGTGAATGCTCGGCAGGAGGAAGCTATGGGTCACATCAGGTCATTTTGTGCGATCCTCAATAATCAGGAGAATTTTCTAATCTCTGCAAGGTGACACACAGAGTTGCAGAAGTTATCCAACTTATCAAGAGTTCTTTCCTGAGGAAAGGCTTTTTAAAATTCAGTCTTTTTGAAGAAAAAAAAAATCAGCCAAAGCTTTCCTATGTGCTTCTTCATTCAGAGATGGGATTTTTCTTCACATGTTTGTTCTGAAACCTTGGATGCGGCATCAAAATAAAGGCGTCTGGCTGCCCTTGGGTTTCGGATGCCCACGATGGTGCAGACGGAGTGGACAGTTACATCCAATAGGCGTCTAGTGTCTTTTCCCTCAAGACATAAGGACTGTGGAACCCAGGCCTCCTCACGCCTGTTGTGGGGTCATGGTGCGCCCTCTGGTGGCCCATCCCTTTAAACAGCTTTATCACCTGCAGAGCAAAGGATTCAAGCCATCACCTCCTGGTGGGCTCTTCTCTCTGCAACCAGCAGATCCAGTTAAAGCTTCTGAGATTCTCCAAGAGATTATTATTATTTCACACATATGTCATCTTGTGCCTGTCTCCATCTGTCCTGCCAGAAAAGCAGCCAGTAACAGGTGGTGCTATGACCCAAAAAGGAAGTACCTGGGGAAGGGGGCCAACTCCAGGCCACGGAGACCTGTGCATCACATAGGGGAATTTTAACTTAGCACCTTAACCAGTGTCCTTAGAGTAGAGGGGGGATGCTGCAAGATCTGATGGGCCAGGATCAGGTTCACGCTTCCGAAGGGTCACTGTGGCTTTAGTGAGAAGAGTGCACTGCAGGATAGAAAATCCGGAGGCATTGCAGAGGTCCAGGGCAGAGATGATGATAGGTAGCCCAGACCAGGGGCTGCTGATGGAGGTGCAGCTCTGGGCATAAGTTCTTGGAGGTGTTTGGAGGGTCTCATCACACAGGACACAGCTACTGATGAGATGTGGGGAGTCATGAAGAGGAAGGGACTGGGGGTGTTGCTTGGATCTGTGGCTTGAGTAGCGAGGGAGAGGGTGGTAGCATCTGTTGAAACCAGGATGCTGAAGGCAGTGGTCTGCAGGCATGGGTAGATGTTTGCTATAGGACTCTTTTCTTTCTTTTTTTTAAGATTTATTTTATTTATTTGAAAGACAGAGTTACAGAGAGAGGTAGAGACAGAGAGAGAGGTCTTCCATCTCCTGCTTCACTCCCCAGATGGCCACATGGGCGGAGCTGCGCTGATCCGAAGCCAGCAGCCAGGCGCTTCTTCCGGGTCTCCCACATGGGTGCAGGGGCTCAAGGACTTAGGCCATCTACCACTGCTTTCCCAGGCCAAGGCAGAGAGCTGGATCAGAAGTGGTGCAGCTGGGATTAGAACCAGCATCCATGTGGTATGCCGACTAGAACCAGCGTCCATGTGGTATGCCAACTAGAACCAGTGTCCATGTGGTATGCCAGCACTGCAGGCCAGGGCTTTAACCCTCTGTGCCACAGCGCAGGCCCCGGAGTCATTTCTTGAGAGGAGCCAGTGTCCCCACTAAGTGGGCGGGCCAGGTGGTCTGCTCGCTCTCTCTCTCTCTCTCTCTCTCTGGCACTGTTTCTGCAGCAGCACTGCTGCGGTGTCCTCCAGCCCTCACAGTGGGGAGCAGGTGCTGGTGTGTGTCAGCCCGAGTGGTCCCCATTCTGGATTCATGGGGGATAAAGTGGGGAGGTGCCTCAGTGTTACCATTTCCCCTTTCCCAACCGTCGGCCATGGTCACAGTGTGATCAACTCAGGCAAGGGTTATCAACGGATGCCGAAGCCAGTTTGGTTGTAAGCAGGCTATTTGCCTGTTACAAAGTGTCTCCCCGAAGACTGTTCAGTAAAGCATAGAGGGGAAGTTGTAGAGGGAATAAATGCAGGGGGACCCACCAGGCTCCCTCCAGTTGTTGAGTTCTGTAAAAGCACAAGGTTGTTGCCAAGGAGAACTCTCCCTGTGTTCCACCTTAACCCTGGGATCAGAGCACCGCCACACCTGGGCAGGCTGATGCCAGCTGCTTGCTTGCTTGCTTGCTTTTTAAAGATTTTTTATTTATTTCTTTGAGAGGTATAGTTACAGACAGAGGGAGAAACAGAGAGGTCTTCCCTCCACTGGTTCACTCCCTAAATAGCTGCGACAGCCAGAGCTGGGCCAATCCAAAGCCAAGAGCCAAGAGCTTCTTCCCAGTCTCCCACGTGGATGCAGGGGCTCAGCACTTGAGCCATCTTCCCACTGCTTTCCCAGGCTACAAGCAGAGAGCTGGATGGGAAGAGGAGCAGCTGGGACACAAACCAGTGCCTGTATGGGATGCTGGTGCCACAGGCAGAAACAGCCTAATCCAGCACAGCGCCGGCCCTGCCAGCTGCTTTCTAACGTGAGACACTCGGAGGGATGCAGCAGGTGCATCAACTGAATCTCAGAAAGCCCAAGTTGAGGGACATGCTAGAAAACTCCTGTCCTGCAGCCCTCTCACAGTGTCCCATACTGTAAAAGACAAAAGCTGAGGGACTATCACAAAATAAAAGGAACCTCACAACCTCGTTTTAATGTGCAATCTTAGATTAGGGAAACATGCTATAAAGGCCAGCATTGGAAAGATGGCGAAGATTGTGTTTAGTGACAGATTAACCTCAGCATCACAACCCGGAATGTGCTCACTGCACTCTGTCCTGTTCTTAGGCGAAGCCGAAGTGTGCAGGTGGGAAGCATCAGGATGCCTGCAGCGTGCCTCAGATACTCCCCAAGAAAGAGAATAATCAAGGTAACACTAAGAAAGCAGATGTGGCAAAATGTTAATAATTGGTGACTGCAGGTAACAGCATAAGAGAGCAATGTCTCTTTTTGCTACTCCTTGGGGGATTATATTTTTTTCTCAAATTTCAAAGAAAAATGATCTATCCAACCCATATACAAACACTGAAGATTCTAACTGGCATTTCTTTTTTAAGGTCAAATATTTTACTGTTATCCTTCCTAGTCACTGAATTCCATCTTGATGAAATGTCAACATAGGAAACAGGTGAAGGAGTAATTTCCTGCCCTGCCAGACTCTTAGGAATGTACAGTATTTGCTGTCTGTTCAAAAGCTGCGGTGTTAAGAGAGGAATTTCTTTTAAATCCAGGTACCAAGGTTGCAAGCTCCCAGTGCCCAAGGAGCAGCTGGTACAAGAGTGGCTGCCTGCAGGTACTGCTGTCCCCCGGCCACGTGGCAGTAGCAGCCCCTAGAACCAGCCGGCTGTGAGTGCACCTGCTGTTCCCGCTCAGGCAACACGAGCCTTTCAGATGCTCCTGCTCGCAGGGCATCATCTGCGATCCTCTCGCTGCCCCAGTGAGCATATGTGGGAGATCAGAGATCAGCGCACTGAGTTGGATCTTGGAAGGCAGCCCGTCCAGCTCACCTCCCCCCTTCCCATCTGTGGCTTTAATTTCCTCTACCGTGTCGTAACCAACTGTCACCCGCTCTCTGCTCAAACCCGGTCGGTGGCTGGAATTCCTGGAAGGCCCGTGTACTTCTGCATAGCTTTAATCATTTGAACATGCTTTCTCTTAACGAGCATCATAACAAATGTCTTCTTCGTATTTCAAGATACCTAATAAATTATTTTTAGAAAAGCTACCAGATCAGGATAACTGAAATTGTGGAACACTTCAGATATTTACAGTAAATAATTAAAACTAGGGGCAGGCATTTGGTGCATTTGTTAAGACACCACTTGGGATACCAGCATTCCATATCTGCATGCTTGGCTTCGAGTCCCAGCTTCACTTTATTTCTTTTCTTGAAATGCAGAATTAGAGAGGGAGACACACACACACACACACACACACACACACACACGTCTTCCACCTGCTGGTTCAATCTCCAAATGGCTGGGGCTGGGCCAGCAGCTTCATCCAGGTCTCCCATGTGGGTGCAGGGGACCAAGGACCTGAGCCATTTCTGCTTTCCCAGGAGCATTAGTAGGGAGCTTGATCAGAAGTGGAGCAGCCAGGACTTGAACCGGTGCCCATGTGGGATGCCAGCACCGCAGGCAGTGGCTTAACCACATGCCGGCCCTCCAGTTTCACCTCTGATTCCAGCTTCCTGGTAATGTGCGCCCTTGGGAAGGTGATGGCTCAAGTCCCTGGGTCCTTGCCACCCACATGGGAGATGAATTAAGCTCCTGGATCCTGACTTCAGCCTGACCCCACCCCAGCTGCTTCAGGCATTTTTGAAAGGAACCGATGGAGTGGGAGCTCTCACTCTCACTCTCTCTCACTTTCTTTCTGTGTGTGTGTCCTTTTTTTTTTTTCTTTTTCTTTTTTTGACAGGCAGAGTGGACAGTGAGAGAGAGAGAGAGACAGAGAGAAAGGTCTTCCTTTGCCGTTGGTTCACCCTCCAATGGCCGCCACGGCCGGCGTGCTGCAGCTGGCGCACTGCAGCTGGCGCACTGCACTGATCCGAAGGCAGGAGCCAGGTGCTTCTCCTGGTCTCCCATGGGGTGCAGGGCCCAAGCACTTGGACCATCCTCCACTGCACTCCCAGGCCACAGCAGAGAGCTGGCCTGGAAGAGGGGCAACCGGGACAGAATCCGGCACCCCGACTGGGACTAGAACCCGGTGTGCCGGCGCCGCAAGGTGGAGGATTAGCCTAGTGAGCCACAGCGCTGGCCGTGTGTGTGTCTTTGTTACCTCTCTGACTCTCAAGTAAGTACATATAAAACCTTAAAAAATAAATTATATTTCAGACCTTTTGGCAAGGCATTTCAGTATATTGTTTGGAAGCCATAGCGATATACTTTGGAAGGGCCCTGGTTCGTTGCCTTCTGAGATGAGCCTGTTTGTGGCGATATTTTAAAAATAAATATAGAGCTAAATTACATGACCACCTACAGAAAGGAATTTCACACGTGTGGGTGGTGTGTATGCACATAGAAGGGCCATGGAAATACCACAGGTCTGTCCAGGAGGGGACTGGGTAGGGGTGAAGAGGAGGCTCTTACTTTCTACCACTCGTATTTTGTTGTCTGCATTTTTTTTTTCCACAAGGAAAGCATTCTATTTTTAACAGTTAAGACTGAAAACTGCCGGTGCCGCGGCTCACTAGGCTAATCCTCCGTCTGCGGCACTGGCACACCAGGTTCTAGTCCCGGTCAGGGCGCCGGATTCTGTCCCGGTTGCCCCTCTTCCAGGCCAGCTCTCTGCTGTGGCCAGGGAGTGCAGTGGAGGATGGCCCAAGTCCTTGGGCCCTGCACCCCATGGGAGACCAGGAGAAGCACCTGGCTCCTGCCATCAGATCAGCGCAGTGGCCGGCTGCAGCGCGCCAGCCGTGGCGGCCATTGGAGGGTGAACCAACGGCAAAGGAAGATCTTTCTCTCTGTCTCTCTCTCTCTCTCTCTCACTGTCCACTCTGCCTGTCAAAAAAAAAAAAAAAAAAAAAAAAAAGACTGATAATGAGAAATGTGAAAAATAGCAACAGAAAGGGACATGACTTACGCTGAGCCAGAATCCGGTTGCCCGGAGTTTCCAGTTTGCACTGCTCTGCATGGCCCGGGAGAAGCCAGCCGCTGCTTTCCCGTGGCAGAATCGGCTGCCTGACGCCAGGCCTTCAGGCCCCTGGCTCCTCTTCTGTGAGCTAAATGCTCCCAGTTACTGCAGGCGCCTCCTGGCAGGCAGAGTTCCAGGTGTCCTTGCTGTGCCGTCGCCCTCCACTGGACCCAGACAAGAGGCAGCCGGAGAGGAATACAGTGGGAGGGTCAGGTAGCTGTTGGCCATCTGTGGAAAATGAGCTTGTGTGTGGTTTGCAGAAATTGTGTCAGACTGGGCCCAGCTTTTTGGGGTGTCAAATTCAGGGGATGAGACAGCTACTGCAGTGGCTTGTCCTCCTTGAAGTAGCTTCACCACCTTGGAAATGGCCCCAAACCCCATACTTAACGTGTCAGAATCCTTAAGACACCTGATTCCACTTTGTCCTAAGGTTAATGGCTTAGCTAAGGTGAATTTTGTTTTTCCCATCCTAGGTGTCATTATGTTTCCTCTCTTGGAAAAATGTATTGCCTCCAGGAATCATGAGAAGTAACCATGGTATTGCTTGGCCTTTTGGCTAAGATCAAGTGTGAGAGGTAACTGTGGCACAGCCAACATGCAAACGTTGCATCAGGGTGTCACCAAGGTGCAGGCACACAACCAAGCAGCCACCTGTGCCGCTTACCAGCTCTGTGGCTGGGGAACATTTCTCTGTTCCATGCCTCAGTTTCCCTATCTGTACTGTGAGGCCAATAGTGATCACCACCTCACACAGTTAACATGAGGTTTGAATGAGTTACAATTTCAAAAATGTTGTTTGGTTTAAAAAAAAAAAAAAAGTGGGAAAACTTGACCTTGAATCTATTCTTACTGGAATGGTCTGAAGACAGAATATATAAACAAAAGCTGTGTGAGTGGATCTGCTTGGCAGATGGCAGGATCAGGCTGGGTTCTGTTTAGGAAACATGACCAAAGACTAGAGTTCTGCCAGCTGCAGCTCCCTCCGGCTGCACACACGGAGGAACTTGGCCTTGCACAGATTAGTGCCTGGCACCTGCCTGCTTTCCCGCTGCTCCTGTCCATAAAGGCTGATAGACCAGCCTCAGTAGCACTGCGAGGACACAGACAATTTAAACGGCTGCCACCCCAAGCCCTTTTCAACAGTACAGTTACAGGGCAACTGTTTGGCCTAGCAGTTAGATGCATGTATCCCATAGCAGCGGCAGGGTGCCTGGTTCGAGCCCCAGCTCCTCCGCTTCCAATCCAGTTCCCTGCTACTGTGCATTCTGGAAGGCAGCAGGTAAATACAAGTACATGGGCTCCTGCCACCTGCGTGGGAGACCCAGGTGGAGCCCCCTGGCTCCTGGCTTTGGCCTGGCCCTGGCCTGGCTGTTGCAGACAGTTGGGAAGTGAACCAGCACGTGGAAGACCTCTCTCTGTCTCTCCCTCTCCCTCACTATGTGTCTCTTTGCCTCTCAAATAAAATAAAAACAACCAAACTTAAAAATGTCTTCAGTACAGCCACTGAGAGGAAACACCCGCCATGCCTCGTTATTGTGATTCTTTTGTTTGCGTGAAGTCTCACAGAGTTTTCTTAGGGTACACAGAGAACATTCTCTGTTTCTCTCGCGATGTGTTGCTAATGTTTGTGCATGAGACAGGTTGGATGTCTGCAGGGGCCTGTTCTTTTCCTGCTTTGTGATGGACACATAATAGTTGTATGTGTTTGTGGGGTTTGGTGCAGTGTTGAAACACGTGTACAGTGAGAACTGATCAGATGCATAATCAGTGTTTGCATTTCCTTCTCTTGCGTGAGGTTTGGGGCCTCGAAGCTGCTCCCTTCCTCCTCTTCTTAGGGCACATAACACGCCTCCCTGGGGCTGTGGAACACAAGAACCTAGCACTAATTTTTGCTTTGTTTTTTAAAGATTGATTTATTTGAAATTCAGAGTTACAGAGGGAGACCAGACGCCTGCCGTGAGACCTCACTACTTGAATTAAATTTTAGTCCCTGTTACCTATCATCCCTACATCCTTTCCCTGCCCCTCCGGTGACCTCTGCTCTAAGTTCAGATGGACAGTGTTTAACTTGCACACAGAGAGATGAATGTGCGGTATTTGCCTGTCTGTGTCTGCCATGTTTCCTTTGACATACTGATCCAGTTCTGTCCATTTGGCTGCAGATGTCAGGATTTCATTCTTTGGGTATTTTTATTTTTTAAAAATTCTTATTTACTTAACTTCAAAGGTGGAGTTACAGAAAGAGAAAGGGAGAGATAGAGAGGGAGAGGCAGAGGCAGCGAGAGAAAGAAGAACTCTTCCACCTGCTGGTTCACTCCCCAAATGGCCACAATGGCTGGGGCTGGGCTGGTCTGAAGCCAGGATCTGTCGCTCCCCCTCTTCGTGGAGGAACGACACAGGACCCTGCGCTGTTCTTTCGTCTGCTCGGCCCTCCCCGGGTTTGCTGCTGGTTCTTCCCGGGTTGGCTACTATCCCTTCCACCTCCGTGGAAGGGCAGTTCCCCCTGACCACATTCCCCACTTCCGCAGGGGAGCGGCACACCGCCGGCCGGCTCTTCTCGGGGGCTGCACGGGTTCCCTTAGATGTTCCCCATAGATGTTCCCGGTGCATGCCGTCTCTCTCCTCCTTTATAGTCCTCCTCCGCCAATCCCAACTCGGCTGCCCACACGCCGAGTACGCTGCTCTCCTCCAATCAGGAGCAGGTCCTGCTGTTTATTAGTTGAACTGGAGGCAGCTGTGCGGAAGCTGTTTACTTCTTTCCCAGCGCCATATTGTGGGAGAGCAGATGCATAGAATAAGTCTTAATTCGAGTAACTTAGTCTAGTCCGGATTGCTCCCCACAGATCCCCCTTTCTTTTTATTTTTGGCGTTGATACGCGCCTGTCTTCGGTGTCCCGCGGCACACACTCTGCTCTACTTGCTAGAGTTGCCACAGGCTCTTACAAGTCCTATCAATCAGGAAAACCGAATCCGGGTCCTCTCTTCGCCATGTTGTGAGGAGGTTTTTAGGCGCTGATGCGTGCCTGTGTTCGGTGCCCTGCAGCGCATGCTCTGCTCTGCCTGCAGGGGACTTACAAGACCTATCAGGCAAACCGAATCCAAGCCTTCTCATTGCCTTATTGTGGGGGAGACTTATTAGTGTTGGTTCGTGCCTATCTTCGGTGACCTGCAGCTCATACTCTGGTCGAGCTGCTTGCTGGCGCTTACCGCCTTAATCAGGCAGACCGAATCCAAGCCTTCTAATTGCGGTATTGTGGGGAAGCCTTACTGATGTTAATTCGTGCCTGTCTTCGGTGACCTGCGGCGCATAAGCTGCTAGCCGCCCAGGTGCTCATCGCCTCACTAATCGGGCAGACCGAATCCAAGCCTTCTAATTGCCATGTTGAGGGGAGGCCTTTCTATTTCTCTATTTCTCTATCTCCGGGCATTCCTATTTCTCCCATTTTACTTCTATCTTCCAGCATTCCTATTTTTCTCATCTTACTTCTAAACTTCTGTTTCTCTTATCCCCGCAGCTTCCCGGCGCCTCGCCCCGCCGGCGGGTTCCCGGCTCTGCGCCGCTTCAGCCCGCGCGCCTCTCTCATCTGCGCAGCTTCCCGGCTTTGCGCGGCTCGGCTTCGCGCGCTCCGCGGTCTCCACGCTTAACCCTTTCGCGTCTGAACCACGGCCTACGCCAGCCCCGTTCCCTATCTATTCACGCCCCGTGCTCTCTCTGCACGCGGCGGCTTCCGCGAGTAACACAGCGTAGCTTACGTGTCCGCCACTAGCATTCAATCTAAGTTCCCCGGGCTAGCCTGGCGAATTCAACCCAGCGTACGTCTCCGCCCCACGGTTTGGCTTCCCGTCCTTTGCTCCCCGGGCTAATCAGACGGATCCCAACCAGGCTCACGTTTCAGCTTCTGGTTTCAACTTTTCGCCCCCTATTCCCGGGCTAACTTGAGAACCCCAAAGTGGCTTTCGTTTCAGCCTCGGCCTGCCCCCCGCGGCTTCAATTTCCCTAACACTTTTCTCTACCCGGTATGTTTCCCCAAGCTTTCCTCCAACGATATTCCTCCCTCATTTCTCCTGGCCTCTCCCCACAGTCCGCATCCGAGTCTGTTTGTTCTAGCTTTCACTTTCGCTTTCGACCTTAGAGATTTCTCCCAGCTTCCCCCCGTAGTCCGTATCCGAATCTATGCCTAGGCTTTCAATAGCTTCTTCCGGCACCCTTTTCGTCCGGCTTTTCCCTAGGCTGTTTGCTAGTCTCTCTCTCCGGTAATTTCCCTAGGCTGTTTGCTAGTTTCTCTCTCCGATATTTTCCCAGTTCTTCCCGTTTCTTCCCTCCTAAGTTTCATATCCGTCCTAGGTTTCCTATCCGAGCTAGGTTTCCTATCCGAGTCACGGCACCATTATGTCGCTCCCCCTCTTCGTGGAGGAACGACACAGGACCCTGCGCTGTTCTTTCGTCTGCTCGGCCCTCCCCGGGTTTGCTGCTGGTTCTTCCCGGGTTGGCTACTATCCCTTCCACCTCCGTGGAAGGGCAGTTCCCCCTGACCACATTCCCCACTTCCGCAGGGGAGCGGCACACCGCCGGCCGGCTCTTCTCGGGGGCTGCACGGGTTCCCTTAGATGTTCCCCATAGATGTTCCCGGTGCATGCCGTCTCTCTCCTCCTTTATAGTCCTCCTCCGCCAATCCCAACTCGGCTGCCCACACGCCGAGTACGCTGCTCTCCTCCAATCAGGAGCAGGTCCTGCTGTTTATTAGTTGAACTGGAGGCAGCTGTGCGGAAGCTGTTTACTTCTCTCCCAGCGCCATATTGTGGGAGAGCAGATGCATAGAATAAGTCTTAATTCGAGTAACTTAGTCTAGTCCGGATTGCTCCCCACAAGGATCTAGGAGCTTCCTCCAGGTTTCCCAAGTGGGTAGCAGGGGCCCAAGCACTTGGGCCATCCTCTGCTGCTTTCCCAGATGCATTAGCAGGGAGCTGGATCGGAAGTGGAACAGCCAGGACTCAAACTGTTTCCCATATGGGACGCCTGCCCCACAGGTGGCAGCTTTACCAGCTATGCCACAGTGCTGGCCCCAGGATTTCATTGTTTTATGGCTGAATAACATTCTTTTTTTGTATCTATACCACATTTTTATCACCGATGCATCCATTGAGAGACAGATTGATTCCATATCTAGCCTTTTGTGAGTACAGTTACAATAAATGTAGGAGTGCTTGGTGCTTCTTCCATACACTGAGTTCCTTTCCTTTGGATAGATATGCAGAAGTGGGGCATTCTGGATACCTAGAAGTGGGCTGGATCTGTTTCCTAGCTTGGGGGAGACCCTCCTGCTGCTCACCATAATGCTTGTACAGTTGACATCACCACGTCCTCAGCGGGGTTTGTTACTTTTCTTCTTTTTGCTAACAGTCATTCTCACAGGCGAGGTGGTAGCTCATGGTGGTTGTGATTTGCAGTCCTCGTGGCTGGTGATCCTGAGCAGTTTTTCATGTTGGCCCTCTGTACCTCTTCTCCTGAGAACTGTCTGTTCAGGTTCTGTGCTCATCTCTTGCATGCTTGTTGGGTTTTTCGTGGTTGAATCCAGGGTTCTTCCTGTGCACAACAGAGCAGCAAGCTAGAAAGTCTTCTGGAACTGGATCCAGGTTCCTCTTCTCACTTCCCTTCCCTACGATTGAAAGCAAATCCCTGAGGGCATGGTGACCCTCCCCCAAGGCTCTGATTGCCACTGGGACTGCTCTGTGTAGGGTGTTGGACTCAGTACAGCAAGTCAGACAGTGGCTTGCTCAGTACAGCAAGTCAGAGAATACTCTGGAAAAACCTCTCTTGCTTCTGAGAGCATTTATCCATCAGCCTTCTTAACATTGAGCGAAATATTCCATTTCCCCTAAACATAGTTATTATGAGTATGTAATGATAAAGTACTTTGGGGGTTGCAGACTCAAATGCCTGCTGTAGCAAGACAGGAAGCATAAATCGGTGATTTGAAACAGGTGAAACACAATAGACAGTGGTGGTGACTGTGGCAAAGTTGGAGGTATATGTCTAGCAGAAGGAATTCCAGTTCAATATTAAAAGCAAAACAAAACAAAAAGGTACTGGTAAAATGGTGTCTCTTACTGTCAGATTAGCCCAAGGGCCTAACTTGACTCATCTGCTTGCAGTTCTCAGGAATAAAAAGCCATGTGGCACTGTAAAGTGGAAGGAGATGGGTTTTGGAGTGCAGCTCCCCTGTGTTTGAATCCTGGCTGTGTAGCCTCAGGGAAGTTACTGAACCTCTTTGAGGGTTTGGTTTTACTCACTTGTGAAGCGGAAATCCTAGCCCCCGTCTCCAGGGTGGTTGTGAAGGTGGAGAGAGCCTGCTGGTCACGGTGCTGGTTCAGCAAGCTCGGACCTCTGTGTGTGAGCGGCTGCCCGCTTGATCCTCGAGGGCTCACAGCAGCACTTTGTGCCCCCGCTTATTTTCCAGGGTGTTGAGGTCTCCGAGCCCGCAGTGAAGTTAGAAAGCTGAGAGTATAAAGATGCGGTAGACGAACCTAGCAGAAGACCACCGAGACCGCAGTGCTGTGGCCTTGTCCTGGGGTCCTCCTGCCCCTGGGGTCTGCCCCCCAGCCTTCCCCATCAGGGGCTTCCCTACTGCACTCAGAAATGATGCGATGCGTCGGGATGAGTCACACGGACTTCACCTGCAACTGGAGCACACGTGAAGCGCCATGTCTGTGTCCTACCGTTTCCTCATGGAGCTCTGGTCTCCCCCAAGCCCATGGAACCCACTCCCGGCATCAGAGCATCCAGAAACTCGGAGACACCGATGATAGCGTTTGCTTGCTGTAAGTGTTAAAAATACAGCACTTTGGGGAAGGCACAGGACACGTTTCCTGACACGACTTCTTCCAGGAGCTTCCAAACATGCAGAAGTTGTGGGTCTGTCTTTGGCTGAAGTCTGGTCCGGGGTGTTCTCTGCGCTGGGGCAGGGGTGTGTGTTGCAAACAAAGACTGAGGCTGGCAGACTTAGCAAAGGAAATTTGAATTTCAGATAAAAATGAATGGATTTTTAGCTTGAGTACACTCTATTCCAGTGGATAATATAGAGTTTCAGTGTATGGGACATAGCGCATGCTAACAGTTTTTTTGTTGTTCATCTGAAATCCAAATGTCGCTGAACATCGTGTACATGGGTGTGGCAACCCTAATCCCAGTCCACTAGATAAAAGCCACTGGTGAGGGTCAGGGCTCAGGCCGAGGAGGGATCCCTCCCGGAGAGACTGAGAGCTGACGAGCAAAGCCTCCCGCGGAGGGAGGCGCAGCTTCGGCTCCAGGGAGCCTCCAGCCCAGTGGTGGCAGGCACGTGGCAGTGGGGATCATTGAAGAAATTCCTCCTGTCCCGTGTTCTTTTAGAGGGAAAAGAATAGAGTATCATTGGGATAATCAAAGAGGAAGTCTCCAGCAATATAGGAATGCTATCCTGGGAACGTCCGGAGGCAATCATCTCTCCTTTCTTTACAAAGGGCAGACAGAGCCTCAAGCAGTGTCCCATTTCAAATGAGGGAGAAGGGCTAGGTTGACAGGTGCGTGTGAGTGTGTGTGTGTGTGTGTATGTGAATGTGTGTGAGTGTGTGTGTGTGGTGGTAGTAGTGGGAGGATGAGGAAGTAGAAGGGGAAAGAACTAAGACAAAAATATGTGACTATTTCCCACATCTAACCTGTCCCCAGGTTGGGGGCTTCTCTAACGTTTTTCCTACAATGTTAAAAATGTCCATGGGATGTCTGATCCTGGAAGAAATCATGGGAACGCGCACACACAAGCAGGAAATGCCCTTCTGTGGCTCCAGCACCGTAGCAGAGGGAGAGAACGCTCCGCGCCGGCAGCTCCGCATCCACTCGGCCTCCTCCCCGGAGCCGGGCACATCCGTGTTCTGCTCTGGGGATGGTCTCCCAGGCCATGGAACATCATTCCTGGGGGGCTGCCTGCCCACATATCTGCCTGCTCACCTGGATGCCACGGGTGATTTCAGTGTCCAGCCCAGGGAGCGTCCAGGACCGGAAACCCTGTGTTTCTTTCATCCTGGGAGGGGAACCGTGGTGGGCTCTCTGAGTTCCCATCACCCAGACCTCGGGACCAGCTCTGGATCCTGGGTCTGCCGGAAGCCGGCGCTTCAGCTTTACTCTGAATTCCGTGGCTGCAAGTTGGTTGCCCTGGTGTTCCCCACCCCGTGTGCATGTGCTTTGCAAAAGTGGAGTCCCTTGATCAAGGGCTGGAGACTGCTTCCCCTGCCCTGGTCCCTGGGGTCCTCGTGACGCCTTGGCCCACAGAACGCAGGGGAAGGGGTCGGCTGCCAGCTCGGAGCCTTGGCTCCAGGATTCCTCCTGTGCTTCCACTCTCTCTCGGAATCTTAACCCCCGGGCAGGCCGAGAGCGACTTGGGCTGCGGCAAGATGAGAAGCATCTAGCACCCAGGGGCTAGGGCCGCCTGCTGGACCCACAGCTGCCCTCAGATACGTGGGGAAGCCCAGCCCACATTACAGAGTAAACTGAACTGACAGGTCTAAGCCGCTAAGATTGTGGCGGCCTGCTGTGCAGCAATCACTAACTGATGCTTGTATGAACTTCCGCCTTCGCTCAGTAAGTTCCTTTTTTGGAGAATTTCGTGAGCACCAACGAAGAACTCTCGTCCACACCTGGGAACCCATCTCCGTGCTTCTGGCAGCACGCGCTCAGGCCGCGCGTCGGCTTTGGGAATCCACTCTGCCTCACTTTGCAAGTCATTTTGAGCATCGTCCTCTAAGAATAAGCTGTACAGGGTGAAGAAGGAAAGCCTCCCCTCTGCTGCGTTGGAGCCTCTGCCCCGGTCAGGTTTCCCGGTGACGCAGCCGTTGGCCAGCACGGTCCACTCAGCAGGAAGTGCCTTTAACCCGCTTCTCCGTGAGATTATTGCACAGAGCCATGATTATTCCCCGCCTGGTGACCAAGAAAAGGACAGAGTCCTGCCTCAGGGGTGTTACTGTTTGCTTCTTTGGAGAGAGAGGAAAAAATCATTTTATTTGGAATGTTCCATTCTTTTCAAATTAAAACATTCATTTTGATGCAAAGAATCTTACAAAACAAGCATGCAGATAAGGCATAGTATGAAGAAACTGTGGAGGAATTTCAAAATGTTTTTGCACAAAAATAAACTTATCTTTTAAGTTAATTTTTCCATGAGCATTTTGAAGTGTCTCATATAAGACTTGTGCATGAAGAAGACAAAAAAGAGGTAATTATCTCCCATAATCTCATTTTCTGCATCTTTTTGCACCAAAATAAAGCCAGCTCTTAATTCCACCCCTGCAAACTCTCAGAAGCACTCCCATGTTTTAGGATTCAGGGTAGGCTCGGCCCCACAGTCTGTGGTCCCCATTCCTTTGAAAAGTCCATCACTGGGGCCAGCATCACGCATAGTGGGTGAAGCCACTGCCTGCAGTGCCAGCATCCCACATAGTTTCTGGTTCAAGTCCTGGCTACTACACTTATGACCCAGCTCCCTGGTAATGGCCTGGGAAAGCAGTGGAAGATGGCCCAAGTGCTTGGGCCCCTGCACCCACGTTGGAGACTCAAAAGAAGGTCCTAGATTCAGCCTGACCCGGCCCTGACCAATGCAACCATTTGGGACGTGAACCAGAAGATGGAAATGGAAGTGTGTTCTCTGCTCTGTCTCTGTCTCTGTCTCTCCCTCTCCCTCTCCCTCTCTGTAACTGCCTTTCAAAAAAGAAAAGACCATCATTATTATTCTCCATGTCAGTTTTCACTTCTATCTTAAAAATAAACAAAGAGAAAGGTTGAGTTGATAGTTTTTATTAATAACATTGAGATTTCTTTTGTTTTTTCTTTGGTGAAGTTGATTACTTTTTTCTGGATTGTTTATCATTTAAAAAAAATTTTTTTTGGACAGGCAGAGTTAGACAGTGAGGGAGAGAGACAGAGAGAAAGGTCTTCCTTCCGTTGGTTCACCCCCCAAATGGCCGCTACGGCCGGCGCACTGTGCCGATCTGAAGTCAGGAGCCAGGTGCTTCCTCCTGGTCTCCCATGCGGGTGCAGGGCCCAAGCACTTGGGCCATCCTCCACTGCCTTCCTGGGCCACAGCAGAGAGCTGGACTGGAAGAGGAGCAACTGGGACAGAACTGGCGCCCCAACCGGGATTAGAACCTGGGGTGCCGGCGCCGCAGGCGAAGGATTAGCCTGGTGAGCCGCGGCGCGGGCCTAAAAATATTTTGAACTGGCACATGAAATTGTGCATACTTCCAGGGTATCGTGTGATGGCTCAATGTATGTGTGTATAGGCATGTGCGATTCAAGGAAAACCTAATTATCTCCTCAAGCATTTGTCACCACTTTTTTTTTTTTTTTTTTGGTGCAAATGTTTAGAATCTTTTGTTACAGCATGGTAGAAAAGTGTGCAGAGCACGTTATTCTGTGACCAGCCTGCTGTGCAGGGGACACCCAGAGCTCCTTTCTTCTGTCTGACTGTCACTCGGGACTCGTCAACCACCCGTCCGCCCGCCCTCTCTCACCACACCCTCCCGGCCTCTGGTCGTCACCACCATGCGCTCCGCTTCTGTGAGCTTCCCTGCCGCACTGATAGGAGTGAGAGTGCTGCTCATCTGCCCCTGCCTGGCTGAGCTGGCCCACCACGTGACCCTCCCCTTGTTACAGATGGCAGCGTTGCTCCTCAGGGCGGCATAGTGTTCCGTTGGATATATGCATCCCATTGTCTATCCCTTCATGTGCCAGTGGATCCTTAGGTTGTTTCCACTTCCTGGCTGCAGTGAACAGTGTTGCAATAGCGGATGGACAGGTTGCATCTTCCGTGGGTGTCTGCCCAGGAGTGGAATCGCTGGGTCCCGCGGTACTTGTTTTCAGTTTCTTGAGGAACCTGTTTTCTACAGTGGTGGATCAGTTCACATTCCCACCATCGGGGCGGGACTGCTCCCTCTCCTCCACGTTCCCACCAGCTCTTTCAGCTTTCTAACAGTTGACAAGATCACAGGAGTGAGGGGGTGTCTCATTGTGGTTTCGATTTGTATTTCCCTGGTGGTTTTTTTTAAAGATTTTATTTATTTATTCGACAGATAGAGTTACAGACAGTGAGAGAGACAGAGAGAAAGGTCTTCCTTCCGTTGGTTCACTCCCCAAATGGCCGCCATGGCCGGTGCGCTGCGCTGATCTGAAGCCAGGAGCCAGGTGCTTCCTCCTGGTCTCCCACGCAGGTGCAGGGGCCCAAGCACTTGGGCCATCCTCCACTGCCCTCCCAGGCCACAGCAGAGAGCTGGACTGGAAGAGGAACAACCAGGACCAGAACCTGGTGCCCATATGGGATGCAGGCGCCGCAGGTGGAGGATTAACCAAGTGAGCCACAGCGCCGGCCCTCCCTGGTGATTTGTGATGTTGAGTATCTTTTCTTGCCATGTGTGTGTCTTACTTTGAGAATCGTCTGTTCAGATTTCTTGCCCATTTTTCTATAATTATTTGTCACTTTGCTATTGCCTTGAATGTCTCCTCTTTCTCCTGTTGTCTTGAATGTCTCCTGGTGTCTATGCCAGATGTGGATTGCCGAATGTTTTCTCCCATGCCGCAGGTTTTCTCTTCTCCAGGTTGGTCACTTTCTTGTCTGTGCAGCAGCTTTTTAGTTTAATGAAACCCGTATCTATTTTTATTTTCATTCTCTCTGCTTTTGGCATCTCTCGAACGAAGCCCTCCTCCATCCCAGTGCCCTGAAGCATTTCCCGTGTTTTCTTCTGATGGTTCCACAGTTATGGGTCTCTTTTTTCTTTAAGTCATCTCAGACATTCAACCAGACTCAGCATTTCAGCTTCATCCCGAACACACCTATTGAATGCTTATTTTTTTTAAGGATTTGATTTATTTACTTGGAAGGCAGAGTTAGAGAGGGAGGGAGAGGGAGGGAGAGGGAGAGAGGGAGAGGGAGAGAGAGATCTTTCATCTGCTGCTTCACTCCCCAAATAGCCACAACAGCCAGGGCTGGGCCAGGCTGAAGACAGGAGCCAGGAAGTCATCTGAGTGTCCCATGTGGATGGCAGGGGTGTAAATATCTGGGCCATCTTCAGCTGTTTCTCCAGGCACATTAGCAGGGAGCTGAATGGGAAGTGGAACAGCCAGGACTCGAACCAGCAATCATATGGGATGCTGGCACTGCAAGTCATGACCTAACCAACTGTCCCACGACGCCAGCCCCACTTTCAGATCTTAAAATCTTTAATCCGTTTATATGTATATATGTGTGTGGTGAAAGATAGGTGTCTAGCTTTATTCTTCTGTATGTAGAGTTTGAGTTTTCCCTGTACCACTTACTATAAAGGCTGTCCTTTCTCTAATGTGTGTGTGTGTGTGTGTGTGTGTGTGTTTTTATAGCTAGGTTGAAGCTCACTTGGCTGTAGATGTATCTGTTAACTTCCAGGCTCTATATTCAGTGAATTTTCTATCTTCTGATATTTTCATTTTTTAAAAGATTTTTATTTATTTATTTGAGAGGTAGAGTTAGAGAGAGACAGACAGACAGACATTCGCTGGTTCACTCCTCCAAATGGCCGCAACAGCCGGAACTGGGTGAATCCAAAGCTAGGAGCCAGGAGGTTCTTCCAGGTCTCCTACATGGGTGCAGGGGCCCAAGGACTTGGGCCATCTTCCACTGCTTTCCTAGGCCACAGCAGAGAGCTGGATTGGAAGTGGAGCAGCTGGGACTTGAGCCAGCACCCATAAGGGATGCAGATGCCACAGGCAGAGGCTTAGCTTACCACACCACCAATATTTTCGTTTTACTTGTTAGTGCCTCCTGCTTTTACTTCATAGGACAGGTCTGGTGGTGATAAACCCTTTTAGTTTAATTTTGTGTTGTTTGTTTTTTGTGTGTTTTTTTTTTTTTTTTTTTGGTCGGGGAGTATCTCTATGTCTCCTTCATATCTCTTTTTAAAAAGATTTATTTATTTATTTGAAAGGCAAAGTTACAGAGAGGCAGAGGCAGAGAGAGAGAAAGAAAGAGAGACATCTTCCGTCTGCTGTTCACTCCCCAGATGGCCAGAACTGCCAGAGCTGCACCAATTGGGAGCCAGGAGCCAGGAGCCAGGAGCCAGGAGCTTCTTCCCAGTCTCCCACATGGATGCAGGGACCCAAGAACGTGGGCCATCTTCTATTGCTTCCCAGGCTATAGCAGAGAGCTGGATGGGAAGTGGAGCAGCTGGGACTCAAACCTGCACCATGTGGGATACCAGCACTGCAGGTGGTGGCTTTACCTGCTACACCACAGCATAGGACGTGTCTTAAGGACAGCTTTACTGGGTCCAGTATTCTTGGTTGGTAGTTTGGTTTGTATTCATTTGTTTGTTTTTACCTTCACGGCTATAAAAATCTCATCGCATTCTCTCTTAGCTTGTAAGGTTTCTGCCCGGAAGTCTGCCATCAGGTGCATGGGGACATATATGTTGTTTGTTTCTCTTCTTTGGCAGCTTTGAGAATTGTATCTTGACCCTGAACTTTGTAGAGCTTGATTATCCTGTGTCTTGGGGTGGACTGGGTTGAGTTGAATCTGGTGCCCTGAGCCGCCTGTACCTGAGCAGTCGCATCTTTCTCTAGGAGTGGCCGTGTTCTCTCTTTTCAGACGCTTCCTAGCCCTTGGCCTTTTCAAGTGCTCCTTGAACCTTATTAACTTGAATATTTGCTCTTTTAATGTTGTTCCAAAGTTCCCAAAAGCTTTCTTCATTCATCTTTTTTTTTATTTTTCCTCAGAAAAAGGGAATTTTCAAGTCTGTTTAAAGCTCAGTCTTCTGTCTATGTGGTGTATTTTGTTTTTGATGCCTTCTGTCACATTTTGAATTTCACTTTTAACATACTTTTCAGTTCAGAGATTTCTGTCTGACTTTTAAAAACTACTTCCATTTCTGTATTGTTTCTGTCAGAATAATGAATAATTTCTCTGTGTATTCCTGTATCTTGTTGAGTTTCCTTAAAATAGCTATTTTTAAGTTATGTGTCTGAAAATGTACGTCTGTCGGCTGCTCTCCGGTTTCCGACCTTGCTTTGTTCAGTAGGTGAGCTCCTGGCTCCCTGAAACTCTGTGATGCTTGTTGGTGTTCAGCATCGCGTGCACATGGGAGGACTGGACATCTTCCCCACTTTTTGTAATCTGGCTTGCTTTGTGCCTGCTTTCAGAGAACCCTGAAGAACTCGCTGATTTTCTCTGAACCTCTAGACAGTCCTATTTCACCACGAGAGGGCGCCCTAAGGTTAGGTTAGCCACAAGTAGCAGTTGGTGTGTTGTCGCTGTTTGAGCACTAGAGGGGGGCCCATCCCAGGTTTGTCCCAAACTCCCAGTGGGTGCGTTCACATTGGGCTACTGGAGATTTCACCTGCAAGCACTGTGCCGGAGGCTTTGTCTGGTGCTGGGTCCCCCTGAGAGCGCAGGTGAAGCCCTGTGCTGGCACTCATCCCGCTCGGCAGTGGCTGGAGTCCTCCTCTGCTGTCTGAGGTTGGAGATGGCTGAGGAGGGCCTGCAGGCTCAGCCTTCGGGTGCTGTTCCGGGGACGAGAGCCTGGTCCTGCTGGTCCTGGACTTCACCTTGGAAGCTCTGATACAGGTTTCAAGTCCGAGGCCTGTGCTTAATTCCCCTTTCCCCCCAGAGGAGGAATACAGAAATGCTGTTTGGAGCTGCTTGGGGGAGGGGTGACTTGGCTCCTCTTTTTCTTGCCTTCTTCGATGTCTTTTTTCTTACACTTAGACTAAAACCAGGCACTGTGCTCTCACCCGGCTTCCTTAGTGGTCGTGACGGTGGCTTGGTACATGAGTAGTTGTCAAATTGGCATCTCTGTAGGCAGAGCGTTGCCGGAACACCTTCCTTGGCCATCACCTTGTTCCACCTCCCTGTCTTTATTTTTTTCCCACCAAATGTTAGCTTTAAGTTGAGATACTATTTGTTTAGCAGAGTGGTGGTCCGGGGCGGGGGGGGGGGTACAGTGCCTGCTGAATAGTCCTAGTCCTTATGCTAATGGAAACGTGTTGAATCGCCCAGGAAAAGTTAATGTTGGTCAAAATGGAGCCCCTATGGCTCTGCCTGTGCAGCATGGGAGGGGGGCATCGTCTGCATGAATTATCCACTTCAGTCCTTTGCAGCAAGGTGCACCCCTGGGAGTCTGTTCTTCTCTAGATTATTTTCCTTTGCATTTTTTTTTTTTTTTGACAGGCAGAGTGGA